GAGATGTCTTTGTCATCACATCTCCTGGAATATCACGGTAAGCTTTTTCATGAACTTTGGTGACTTCAATAGTTGACTTCGACTCGAAATGGGTCTACTCCGGGTGTTTTTCCACAGGACAGCTGTTGTATTGCTTTGACAGTTTCAAGAGGAGAGGGCGGGCGACAGAGGTCGTCGTCGGCGTCAACTTGCGATTGCAGGCTTCTTCGAGTATTGTCGACGGTTAGTTGAGGACGCCTTGAAAGTGCGCGGCCCAACGCTCCAGGACCTGTGACTTCTGAGTCAAAAGGGTTGCACCATTCTGGCTCAGCAGTGGCGCAGTTCCCTTGGCTTGTGGACCTCAGACTGCTTTGAAGGCAGTGGAAATATTCTCCATCTCACCACGGTCGGTATATACCTGAATTATCTCAGTCTTGGGAGTCATCCAGTCGTTCTGCATCTCCCCTCAACCTCTGTTATACTAGTCATCGGCAACGGAGTTATGGGGCCTTATTTGAATGCTGCTGCGGGTGGTGAAGGTCGCGTATGATCGGCGTTTCTCACAGAGGAGAGTGCTGGTTTCTTCATCATTGTTGTCAAACCCAGCCTGGTGCTGGCGGCGAGCACGGCCGAGGACTTCCACTACGGTGGACTGGACCGCATCCCGCAGCTCTCTCCACCGGATTTCAACACTGGCATGTGCCTCCAGGATTTACATTTCGTCCGATTCTGATTTCATGCAGCTCCTAAAATTCAATCGACGTTAAGCCGTATCAAGTAATAAGGTATTTAGTTTACCTTGCGGCCGCCTGCGCAGTTGGAGTTAGAGTCTCCTCCTGGAGAGGGTTGATCTGTCCGGCAGTCAGCACCACAGCTCGCCTTAGTCACGAGCATGTCACGCTTGTCGCGCCTTTGAACCAAGACGCAGTCCAGCAGACCCCAGTAACGCGAGCACGGGTGCATACACGTCGCCTTCCCCCGCATCGGGAGACGGAAGGTGTTGGTTAGGAGAAGACTGTGCCCCAGCAGGAGAAAAAGACCACTGCTGTTGTACCTGCTGGTCCCATGATGACCGACGCCGACGGGCGCCGAGGTCACTAGTTTGTCCGTCTTCGGTACAGTTTCTAGGAGGACGTGCAGGTCTTCGCAGAACTTATTCTTCACGTCATCCGAGTTGGTCATTGAGGGAGCGTAGACGTTGACGGGGGTGGCGAATTTGTTGCCGCGGGGTAGCAGCCTCCTGGTTAAGAGAAAGCCACTGACACCGCGTGGTAGGCCGGACAGCAGTCCCACCACGCCGTTCCTGATGGCGAAGGCGACTTCAACCTATGGGAAGTCCGCTACAGAATAAGGCCTAGTCGCCACCCACCTCCTCCAGTTTACCCTTTTAAGAGAAACAGATTTCACTGAGAGCCCCAAACCCCACTTGGTAGCGGACCACTTCGCCGGCGATCATAGCCACCCTCGGTCGCATGTTATTTCGTAGCCGTACCTGCAGTAGACAAACCCCAGTCTAAACCCTAACCCTAATCTATAACCTCTAACCGCTAACCACTAACTCTGGTCCCTAACCCCAACCTCTAAACTTAACTCCTGACCCTAACCCCTAACAGGCAGGGCTGCGAAATAAGATCTTGCCTCGCCATCCTTTCCGGCCCTTTTCCCCGCACGATTTTCTAAAAGAGAACAAACACTCCGGGCTGCCAGAATCACTTTAACAGACAGTTCGGGTGAAATGGAGAGTGTGGAGACGGTGATTGTTGTTCGCTTGATCATTTTGACTGTCAGTTTAGCATCTATGGACTGCGATTGTGCCATGTTCGCAGATGTCATTAAAATCTGAAAAGTCATCCACGATGCTGCCGATGAGACCAGCTTTCAAGAAAATCCTCGTCGGCTTGATGAGTGGTCCCGTATATGGCTCCTGTCCTTCAATTTGAACAAATGCACCATACTGCGTCTCGGGAATCGAAATCATGTCCATAATGTGTGGCAATATTATCTGAACGGGATGCCACTCCAAGAAGCAGAAACTTAGAAAAATCATGCAATCTGGATTGCAGACACCCTAAGGCCCTCTACGCAATGTCGTAAGGCAGCTAAAGCCACAACTTCAATGCTGTAAGCCATCAGACGGACATTCACAGTTTTCGATGAAGACTGCCTTTCCAAAGTCTCCGGCACGCTTGTAGGGAAGAAGTCTGGATGTGCAATCCAGGACGCAGCAGGATTACAATTTACTGGAAAGGGTGCAGTGGCGAGCGTTAAATAAGAAGTCAAAGTGCACTGCCTTACGAGACCCGCCTGATCAACCTTAATCTCTATCCTCTGAGTTATAGGCAGGTGCGCGGAGATTTACTACAAGCTTTCCGTATCGTGCGTGGATTGGACTGCGCCCTCCGGTGTAACGACTTTTTCTAACTAACCTCCGGGGACATCCCTTCAAACTACTTGCGTCCCAAGGTAGACTGGATGTGATAAAGTATTTTTCCCCAATAGTGTCGTGGAACCGTGGAATAACCTGTCTCAGCCTGTGGAGACATTTAACTATCGGCCTGACAGTCATATGTTGCACCAGCAGGTGGACTATGGGACTTTTTAACCATAAAAAAACAGTGTCCTACGTGGATCGATGTCTGCATTCATTCTTTGTTGGATTTTCTTCATGATGTTGCTAATTTCTACGATTTTTTTGTACAAATTGGGAGTTCAAAGGCGTAAGCCTATTTCCCTCAAATACACTGAACGGTCTGCTTGCAGATGGCGCGATTTGCCGGGATTTGTTTGGGATACATTTCCCGTGAGTGGAAAAATAGTATTATCCCTATACAGAGCTGTCTAGTCATTCCAAGCGGCTGCCGAGCTATACTTTTGCTGAATGGAAGGACGATCTGAGTTTGCCTGGCCCGCCTACGGCATTGTATATTGTCCTCCCCATAGGACCTTTTTTGGTGGGGGAAGGGAGTTTGGTGGTGTGAAGACACAAGCGTCGGACACTCATCTGGTTCAGCCCACCGGTCAAGGACGGCCTCCGGTTAGTAGCTGTCGTGCTTAACACGATTTAAAAAACGACAGATTAGAGTTGGGTGCCGGGACGGGGCGAGGCAAAAGTGTCAATCAAGGTTAACCGATGTGCTTGCCTATACGTGGTTTTATCACTATAGTTGTGCCTGCACTACCAGTGCCAGAAGGCGTCACCTATTCTGCACCTTCGTGCATGACAATTGCCGGCAGTGTATGTAAGTCAGGGAAACGTTCATTGAATCGGATCGATAAAGTTGGTTTTAACGTACAATTGCAACGTGTGTCTTGCTCACGGCACCTCGTACACCCCTGGTATGAGCTAACACGCGCCCCCAGTTTTGGTCCCAAAAAACTGAATTCAGGGTGAGATCAGGAAAGGCTGGTCCTGGGATGCAGTGGACTCCCCTAGAATTTTTATTTAACCAGGCCCAGAGGAGTCGATGGTTAGGCGCACCTTTAGGGATCCCCTGGCAAAATCGTACACACGGGCCCCCAGTATAGGTTGGGGTTAGGACTAGGGTTAGAAGTAAAACTGGACCTAGTTGTAACCCAAACGCTGATCACGTAGCCCCTAAACGCTTACTCTATATCCAACTCCATGCCGGATCATTGGCGTCTATCGTAGTCGATGCCCAAGTCCTAACCCTAACAGAGTAGCCAAAAACAGCGAAATAAATTTGCCCTGACAATCTGGGGGTTGCTTCTTCCAGAGGCAAATACTATGGTTCGTCAGTTAGACGTGTGACTGCGATTGTTGTTAGACTACACCCTATTTCTAAATGATGGACACTTTTTGGTGGCTTCCTTTCCTTCCCTCACGAGTGCCCTGTTCTGGCATATAGACTTTGTCTGGTTCCAGACATTGTTAGCTCCACGCGACTGCGTCTCGCATCTGGTAACTCATCCCCGTCGGTGGGGCTATAGGCCCGCTTTCATCCGAGTTCGTGCTCTCGCCCGATGAAAACTAACCTGTTAGCCCTCTATCTATCTATTCACCTCCTAGTCTTTTTTAAGTTGGGGACGCGCTATTGCAGTATACAGTACGCGACAAGCTTACCATCGATGCGTGAAAAAAATTACGCCAGTAGTTAGCACTTACTCAAAACTGCAAAGCACAGAGCTGTGGAGGCGTAAAAAGTTCACATTGGTCGGTCTACGGGAAAAAATTTAGAAGACTCGCATGGAGTAAGAGCTTTATTTTTTGAAAAGTTTGCCGTAACCCCCTTAGGGAACTCACGCTTCAGTATGATGACCGCCGTGGGTATTTTCAACGCATGCATGCATCTAAAAAAAACAAGGAAACGACAAAACGTATGGGGGCATATTTGTTTTTTTTAGCACACACGATGACGCCGGTCTGTTTTGCCTAAGGAGGTCATGCAGCCAACCTTTCCTAATTAAACCGCCAACTCCCAGGTCAGACCAGTTCAACAAGTCGCCACTGGTCTTTCTCGAAAGCGCAAAAGGACTGACCTAATTTTGACAGGTCAGTCATAATTTGAAAGGCCTTATCAGCCCTATGATTTGAGGCGGCGCCCACATCCTCCGAGGGGTTGGTTTAGGGGCACCAAGTGTTTACATGTCAACACTCCAGATAGTAGACCGTCTGCATCGACAAAATTGCAGTGGACACCCTTTAGTTGAAGAGGGCAGAGCACGTGAAAGTGGCCTTCTCCTTTCCTGGGGAATGAAGACGAGACCCATGGAACATCCATTCTTGCTGAGCGTCTATCTGCGCTGAGGGTTTTTCGCCGTCATAAATACAACTTTGTTCATGGAGATTGACACTCTACCATTCAGCCAGGGGTCCGTTGTCCTGTCGGTTGTGATCGGGAATATCAGTTATGACAGTGGGCGCTCACCGATCAGGTTACGGAACATGCTCGTTCCGTTGTGCCTTGAGACTCACACTAGAACCCTCGCGGGCAGTTAAACAGCGACTAGTCATAGATGTACATCAAAGATCCCGGGTTCGAACCTCAAGTGGTCCACACTCCGGGGTTGGGTATGACTGGCTGACGACGGCTAATACGTCAGAAATGGTCATTCCGGTCTCCCTAGTCTTTGTCGGTACCGCCTGATTTACATCATTCTACTAGTCGCTTTGCGACTGCCTGCGAGGGTTCTAGTATGAATCCCAAGGCACAACGGAACGAGCATGTTCCGTAACCTGATCGGTGAGCGCCCACTGTTGTAGCTGTTGTTGGTATTCAGAGAGTGTTGCGCGGATAAAAAATGAGCTGGAAGACGGCGCTGACAGACCCCATCATAGAGACGTTGTCACGCCAAGTACCAAGACCTGCAACAGGGACGAGACCTGGGAGCCCACACGAGTGTTCAATTAAACAATTATTATTAAATGCGGTTACACAATAGCCGGGGCCTGTAAATTGTCATCCCACTCTCCTTCGTTTTTGTAAGTAGCACTTTATTTGCACAGCCCGCGGAGCAATCTGGCTGGGATTTCACTACGTAAATTGCAAGGCCTGGACAAAGACCTTTTGTGGACAGTAGACAGGATTACCGAGCTTCATAGCGGCCGCTCCCGCCGTTGCGAGGATGCGCCGAATTAGTAGCCTAAATCAACTGGCCATCACGCTCTTCACTACTTGGAAAGCTCCTTCGACGTCAGCATGGTGACTTGCATCAAATAGGTGGGTCAGGGCAGCTTCTGAGATGTTCACGTATCCCTTTGAAAAGCCTCCTTGTCGTCCGGCGAGGGTTGAACCGTCACCGGGCGGACGCCCACCGCATCCCCCACGGGTCGAAGGCGGCAACGGTGACGCGCGTAAACTGGTTTATAGGGAGGCAGACTTGGGCAATATCTACTGTATGACATCTGTCTTCCCCATCAACCTTCCTCGTCGAATCTGTTAACACAGTAATCTTCGTTTGTTGGTACCGAATAAGTGCGTTGCAATTTTACATCCAGTGGGGTTTGGCAAACATGCTTGTGCCGATTTCTTTGACTTTGTATTATTTCATAAGCAACGTCTGCTTTTCCAATAGATGTTAATGCATGTTTGTGTTCGACAGCTCTCAAGTACTAAGAGGTATAATACAGTATACGAATGTTGAAATGCATCGTTGGGCTTTGCACAGACCACCTTCTCAGACACACGATGAGGTCCACTGGATTTCAGCTGTGAAGTCATAGAACATGCACCTTTTTTGCCTTCTTTAGTCGATTGGCTCAAGTAATGATACCGCAGATGTCGTCATCTACTCTAACCACAGCTGAAAGTGCTGTTTTCAAGATTTAAAGCCTGTCAGCCAGACTTCTGGCGGTCCGAGTAGGGGCGACCGTTACCGTCCGTAACATTAAGACTCTTCCGAAATCCGAGACTGAAATGAGGCACCATGGAGTGGGATCAAGTGTTGTCCCGTCCGGTGCCGTATTCGGCAGTTAATGCGTAATGAACCTTGGTGCGACACAATCGATATCGTCAGGTTGGAAGGTGATTGCCTCCCGCGCTGTTGTTTTTGGACCAACCAATCAAAACAGGCGGTCGCGCAGCCGTCACAGTTTCCTATCTCTCGCTTGTCCTGCTTCTGGCGTCTGGCACCGGTATGTGCACAACACTCCGCACCAATGCAACCACTCTTCCAACGACTGGGTTAAACATGCCTTAATACGTGTTTCGGTCACCGGGTGGTATTTCTCGCGTTCATAAGCCTCGTGGGTTTGACTATATATCTGGGTAAAATCAGTGAAGAATGACCATGTCTTGCAACTAGGCGTCTGGGGAGACTACAAATTTACTAAAACGAATCCCGTCACTCCCCGCCCCCTGTCAGCCAATTCACCATACATAAGCTGCGAATGCCGTCCGAAATCAAAATGGAGGGTAAGAGGAATCTGTCCTCCATATTGAACTTCACCATCCGACTCATCACAAGCTGATTGGTTAGATCCTAGCAACCCAAGACTGCGTCCGCACTTGTTCAAGCATACCTTCCTCTCGACAACGAAGCTCACAGCTAAATGAATGTGTCAACGCTAAAAGCTTTCCTTTGTCCTGAAAATTACCCATTCTATTCTGATCTGCATTTTTCAGCTGGCTATGGAGAGAAGGGACCACTGAAATTTAAGTTCGCCGCACATGCTACTCGTCTCCGCTGTCTGAGAAGGTAACTTTCTGAGGAAATGTGAGAGTCGGTATGCTGTGATCTACCACATCAGCGACTTACCATAACGATAGCGTCATGAAGGCTGTCAGTTGTGAGCAGATGTTTGAGGTGTTCAAAGGCCGTTTTCATCAAGTCCTCTTCGTTGCAACCGTCGATGCGCTTACAAACGTCGGCGATGGTTGTCTTCAGCAAGGCGCAAACTGCGGAGGGCTCGTCGTCCGAGGATTCCTCCCAACTAGTCACGCATTCAGTAAGCTGAAGCGAAACAGCCCAAAGTGAAGGAGAGACATAGAGAGGCACATTGAAAGTCAGGGAGGATTTTTAATTGCAATCATTGAAAGAGGGAGGAAAGGGCAGCTGGAGTTTCTACGTAAAAAATCATGCGGGAAGATAAAACTAAAAGTCATACCAGACGTCTTCTATAACCTAAGGTATCTTACCGAGATAACAGCTTCAATCTCTCTCGGTTGCTCAGGTGCACAGAGGAAGTTGTTTATTTAATCAAATCTAGGAGCGTCAATTCTGCATATGTAGCCCTAGTCATTCATGCTCGGGGTCTGGATAAGCCGTGATCGAAATTTTGGCTCTTTGGTCATTCAATGCGAGGTCAAATGTCCTTCGGATCACGCCGCAGGCTCGTTCTGACGATTGCGTTCGAGATGCCATCTGAAATTTTAGCCCTGTTAAATAGTCAAGGAAGACGCCTCTTCGTGGCATGGGGACCACAATGATGAATTTGCACTAGTAACCGCAATCCGAACTGAGTGTTGTTCAGCAGTGGACGTAGAAAGACTCCAATGGGCGGTTTTTTAGTCCGCATACAAAGGTTAAAGTGCGGTGTAAAAAGGTGGTGTACTAACGTAGACAGGGCGCGCATGAGTTTTGAGCCAGTACAAGTACGCGATAATTTCAGTTCTGGGAAATCTGTCTGCGGTATGACCAGCCTGTAAGCATGCGACCATGACGTACTCTCCCGATATGCCATGATAAACGTAGTCAGTGTGTCTGGCTTGGTGTGGTTTTGTTGCCTCCGCCATAGTCGAATGAACGACGCATGCTTGTGCTGCATCTATCGCATTCTCTCCTCCCTCACTCCCTCCCCCTGACAAGGTGTCAAGACGGAGCCCGGAGGGCTGGAGGCGGGGTCGGCGCACACTGGCTGGCGCGGCGTGGGGCTGCCCCTAGGCGTGTCATCCCCCCCATATATGACATTTGTTATTGGCATGTAGTTAAATAACACGTGTCGTACCCTGATCTAGTCCCCGTGTTGGTTCAGCGCAACTCCCGCGTGGTCCGTTGCATTGGACACGCGTAGTACGCACAGTAGCGCAACCTCGTAAGACAGTGTTGGAAAATTTCCACAAATTTTTAAATCGGTAGTATTACCCGGGTGAAGCGGCGGAACTGCTCATCAAAAAATCATCATAAGTCCAGTTCTAACAAGTAATATGAGAGTTTTTTCAGTTTTTTTTCAACCACATCTCTAAATGACAATGGAAGCCATACTGAAGCAGTTTCGTCTTTTTTCGTCGATTTTCAGTACTCATCTGCATTAGGCTATTTTTCGATGCATCACACAAAACGATTCATAGTTTATGTCCATGTGATAGAAAAGTCCGTATTTTTTCAAAGTTGGGACATGAAGGAAGAAATGTTTTCTGTTTGCATAAATTGACTGGTATCAATATATTCGGAGATTAAATCTATTTTTCACTTATCCTTGAGATTTTGTAATTGTTTGCTGATTTTTTTCCTAAGTGAGCTCACAAGCTCCCTTATTTCCGTAAAGGATCCTCCCGGAGCTACTTGAATACTACAATGGATGCGCACCACGCCAATAACTTTATAAGTTGCATCAACAAACCTGGAGAAAGCGCGTTTTATGAATAATTAGGTGGGCATTGCAGAAATTATCACAAGAAAAAATCTTCGAAAATCAAAATATCTCCCTTCCTCAGTTACCAATTATAAGGAAGACGTAGGCTTTTCACAAAATGGATATAAGAATTGAACCGTTCGGAACTGAAGAGTTTTTTTTTAAAGTCGAATGATACTCCTTCTTTTAGTATACCCTTTGAAAAAGACCTAATTCGCTACCTAATACGCGCGAGAAAGAATGTTTCTGTGCATGGTTCCTATAAAATATGTTTGAATTTACAAGGGCATCCAAAATCAATGGGAAGAATTCAAACTAAGTAAGTGGCCATTTTACGGAGTGTAATTTTTGCAAGCGGCCGGAAAGAAGTTCACTCAAAAACCGGCAACCTGACTCAACAGAGGTATCTCGGGCTGATGCTGCACGATAACTGGTATTAAAACCCCACATGAATAGTGATTCTAAATAAAAAACACACATTTCGGGATTTCAGTTAATATTTCATGCGCTGGCACAGCTATCGTAGCCGGCTGATATTTTTCGATGCTTGGTAGACCGGGATTTTGCGGACAGGCAGTTGTAACCTTGAGCGGATCCAACAAACAACAGGCACGCAGGTGGACGTGATCATGTGAACTAATGTCCATTAATCGGCGTAGGCAAAGCTTTTACTTACAGCGAATCATGAAAGATCAGGAATGGATTGATTCCCGAGGCAATGTTGTTTACAGGCTTCCAACAGGACTGCAATGTCCGGACTGACGAGACTTGTTTTCATGCTCGTAGGCGTGTCGGAAAATGATGTTTTTGTGAGGTTAGAAGTTATATACATGTCGCAGAAGTTACTTATTCCGTACTCCAGGGGATGGATAATTGATCCGTGCATCTGTAACCCTGGGGACCTTTGGCGGTTTATATGTAACCGGCCAGCAATGACACAGAGAGAGAGAGAGAGAGAGAACGAGTTTGTCATTTCCCACAGGGGCCTGTTTGTTCCGAGTCGACTGTGTTTCATTCAACTGGTAGCAAGTCTGCTTCCGTTCTCCTGGGTTTCTTTTTTTAATATGATATCAAGCAGAACGTGTGTGGACAGGAATCAGTGAGTTAACCTGGAAAATGCGAGTCAGTGAACCCTTATGCCAGTTCAAACTCCGAAAGTTCGGGCGAATAAAACCACACTGGAGGCTGGGTGCTGTGTTAATATGGCAAGATACAGTTAGTGACCTAACTCATGAAATGTGTCGAAATTTACGAATAATTGCCAATCACTCGCAAACCGACATAATTTCATGAGTCTAATGTCTATGTTAATTAGGTACAAGTTTAAACGAACTAAAAACAAAAGAAATATTAAAGGCAGTGTTGCGTTGTTCAGAAAGGCTGTTTTTTTAGAAATGCGCAATATCCCGAAAACGTCAGAAATGGCTCTAATTTAGTAAACTTCGTTTTTAGATGTATAGAATGTAGTCTCATATTAAAACGTGACAAATATGAAAGCAGAAATAAAATAACTTCTAATAATAGTGTCTCGGTGAAGTTTATATCTAAATATCGTTTAATAAGTACTGTAGTTTCATATATGGCGATTTGTCAACTGCCTACATTCTGAATGTAGATTCCAAAACATTTTTCCAGGGTTTAGTGTTATCTTTGACTTTTTTGAGTTAAATAAGATGGGCGTCAACTAGAGAAACTGGATTTTGCTTGATTTCACCGATTGGGACGTCGTAGAAACAAAAGTTTTCATAAGGTAACATGCCATGAGGCCGGTCGGTGCCTAATAAATCTAAAAAGAAATGACAGGCGTGATCGTAAGTATACCATTTTGTGTTTATAGAGAGAACTTTTCTTCTGTTAAATTAATTAACACTTTCCGTTCGTTTTGGATTACGTCGCGTTTCAGATCGACCTCCAAATGTTGCTGAATACTTCATGATTTTCAGTGTTGTCACCCGATTTTCCATAAAGACAGATTTTGAATTACCTGTCTGTTGAGAACTTTAAAAGAGAATTATTTTTGAAGGCATTTGCCGAAGTAGTGAGTTTTCGGGCGCCATTTTTCACGAAGATGGTCGTTTAGGTCACATGTGAAAACTCATTCAAACATCAAACTTCGTTTTCGGGAAAAATGGCTGTCCACATCGAAAGTCAGCAACGAATATGCCTTTGATCAATAATAAAACTTTCCTTAATAAGTTGTCTCTTTAAGAAGTGCTTAATTTCAGTCCTCCGTTGACGGATCTCTGTGTACTTTGCATTTTTGCACGGTGAGACGAGGTAAAACGCGAAGAGCGAAGAAAATGCTCAACGTTAAAAACACCCAGAAATTCTCTCATCATTTTCCGTTATCAGATTTCATGAGATAGGTCACGTACTGTACTTGTTACCTTCATGACTCCAGAGTGCATGCGAGAATCAAAACAAGTCACTGGAAGCTTAACCTGAGTCATATGTTGTAAGGCAGCGTGTCATTTCATGAGTGCATGTGGCATGTTCGTTCATGCTGGCCACGCGCGCAGCCCGAGCCGGACAGCCATTCAACGTCTCTTTCAGCCGTGCTTGAGCATTATTCAGCAGCCAGACACTGGCGACAAAGACAAATCCTGTCGCGCCGCTTCATTGCAAGCAGATGTAACTTCGAAAGTAGCATAACCTAAGCCAACTACTGACCAAAAAGCCCCGACCATCCCATGCGTACACGCAAAGGCATGGGGTGGTCTTGACCAACGAAACAAGCTTCTTCTGCTCTGATAAGCACTCGGGAGGCATGGCCAGAAGCTTTCTGGTTGTCACTCGTCCTGGGACGCCCACACTTGCGTGGTGTTATACGACGATCGCTAGATTGGCTGGAGGTGATTGCGGGGAGGGGGTCGTAGGTGTCAGAAGAATCTGTGGCAGCCCACCGCCCCCGAGGTCACTAGCACCGCTGCTTAATTTTGCCGCCTTTATGCCCGCCTCGCACTGCCTGTCAATCGATGATTGGAGCCGCGCGTAACGAGAGGTCGAGGCGAACTGACGCTACGTCCTTCCCTGATTGGCTGAAGCCGGACGGAAGCCAAATGCATGCGCCACGGGGGCTAAGAATCTCAACGGCTGTAACACGGTCGAAGAGACAGTTTACCGCCATTGCTTGTTGAGCCGCCAGTACATTAGGTGGGCTAACTCATGAAATGTCAACCGAAATTCCGAAATGCGTTTTCGTTTCAAAAAGATTAATTAAGCAGGGTTGTAAAACTAGTCAGCCTGCAACATAATTCCATAATATTTCAGCTACGTCAGGATGCCGGCCTTCGAATGAACTCCCTTCCGGCTGCATGCAAAACTACACTCTGAAAAAACGAATACTTAAGTAGCGTCAATTTTTCTCATTGATTTTCGATGCCCCTAAAAATGTAATTAGAGTTCATGGAAAGCATGCATAAAAATATTCATTATGTTGCTCATTCGGTGCACAGTTACGTCCTCATCCAATCTTATACTCAGAAGGGGGTATAATTCGGTTTTCAAAAACTTTTTCAATTCCCGAATAATGTTGAACCCGCTCTACCGTTGCGCTTGGACTTAGCGTTTCCAAACTACAAGCCGTATATTTTCCGCGTACGGAAAACCACACATTTCTCTACGGTAATCAGGGGGGGGGGGCACATAGGATTTGTAAAATTTAGCGATGGATTTAATCCATATTGTCAACTTTACAAGCCACATTGGTAAATGCGGAGATATGACGATTTATGAACGGCCACTTCACGGTATTTAAAAGTTCCACAATTAGAAACTTTTTTAAAACCGAATTATGTCCCTCCTTCGAGTTTAAATTTAGAAGAAGACGTAATTTTCTATCGAATGAGCAAAAGAATGAATATTTTTATGCATGTTTTCCATGAACTATAATTGAATTTTTAGAGGCATCGAAAGTCAATGAAAAAAATGCATGCTACTTAAGTAGTCGTTTTTTTTCAGAGTGTAGTTTTGCATGCAGCCGGAAGGAAGTTCATTCGAAGGCCGGCATCCTGACGTAGCTGAAATATTATGGAATTATGTTGCAAACTAACTAGTTTTACAAAACTGCTTAATTAATCTTTTCGAAACGAAAACGCACTTCGGAATTTCGGTTGACATTCCATGAGTTAGTCCACCTACTGTACATCCTCTCTAGCCTCAGTAAAGTCTCTGTTCTATAACTCTGTCTCTCTGACCGGTGATTTGAAATCCTCGTTTGCTGACCCAACACGCAATTCGACAGATCTATGACAAACATGGTCTAGTCAGGTGAGGCAGAACATGCTGCAGGTAGGCAGACAGGCATCATAACGTTGATTGGCTGAAGCTACTCAACGCAGCCAAGACATTAAGTTTACACCAAAAACAAAAAGATAAGTTTGAAACGGGTGATGAGTCGATGCTCTTTGTGGCGCCTCTATTGGGGTGTCACAACTTGAGTGGGCAAATTCGGGTTAAATCACAGTTGGTAGACAGGAATTGGGAGGCAGACGGCGGGGTCCCTGTCTTACGGGAATGGTAGGAAAGGCGGTTATATGGGTGGGGGAGGTGGAAATGCTGCTGGACGAATGGTGGAGTTTCGGGGAAAAAATAAACGAAAAAAGTGATGGGAATTTTTATAGGGGGAGATTAATGGCAGAAATCGAAAAAAGTCCCCCGGAAATGAGCACAGCCTGCGGAAAATGAAAGAGGTAAATAGTGATAGGATAATCCTAACCTTCACCCTAAGCACACCCATAAGTTTAACCTTAACCCTAACCTTAGCCTTAACCCTAGCTTTTGCCTTAACCCTAACCATAACTCTAACCTTAACCGTTAACCATTAATCGTTAACCGGTAACCCTAACCCTGAAGCCTAACCCCAACCCTAAGGCTAAACCATAATCCTAAACCTACACCCTGACCCTAACACTGAAGCCGGACCCTACATATATCACAAATCCTAATCCTAAAACATAACCTACTCCTAACCATAACCCTCAGTAAACCCAACAGCCTGACTGGAACGACCGACCTACCTCACGCAGTAGAAGCACACCTACTGATAACCAGTTTCCAAGGCAAGGTATACACACCCAGTGATAACAGGCAAGTACGTCGACAGTATCAACGTACAGTGCCTGGCTACCAACTGCGATCTTACCCAAATTCGTACTCTATCTATGGAATAATGATGGTAGTTTGTGTGCGTGGAAATTTAACTGTCAACGACTTGGATGGCGGATTCACTACTTGTATACCTAACGACTAAAAAGGTCCAGTCCAGATCGTCTTTTTTTGCCGCCATCGACTGTGTATTGTCATGTTCCATCATTGAAAGCGAACACTAGGGTCCAAAGTGCGGGCACCAAAAAAGTTAATAATAAGCACACCCTTGGGCTGCCATTAGTGACCGACTTAGGTGTGGGGTGGGAGGCTGTTGAAACGGCCAACTAGCGTTAGTACAGCCTAGGGTTTTAGGTGACCGGTAAGCCTATTATGCAAGTTCTACAAAACCGCTGACAACGCTGAATGAACGTCGATAGACAACAAGTCTGTCTGAACGTCATGCGTCCGACCTTTGTCGCCCTGTCTCGTAAGGTCGGGTCACCTGTCACGACGTGGTCTTTCGCACGCACCGGTTGGCTCTCAGGGTTTGTAAACATCGGCTACCTGTTCGACAGGGCCAGTAGCGAATCGACCCCCTGCATTGCTATCTCACAATGCTTTGATTTGGTTCTGTTGGGTGAAATATTCTCCGACTTAACAAAATTATAACACGACTCTGTTAGACCTGAAAACAGCTAATAATCTGGACTTACTTAATTGCATGAGTGAAAACGGGCAATTCCAATGGACGCAAATAAACGACCTGCACAAGAGACGTACGTTTTTGTGCAGTGCGGGGATGTCCTCCTCCCGAACTTCGTGAATCTTCAACTCACTGATCAACTTCTGGATCTCGTGTTTAGAGACGTTCATTTTGAAGAGGTACTCCACGCGATGTTGGAGGTAGGCGCAGGCATCGTCAAACATTTCGTTGGAACCCTCGGTCTCCACTCCGGCGCCGAAACTTGCCCAGTCGCTGTCATTAAAGTGGTGTTCTTCGTCGCTCATGTTCAGCTGTTCGTGGTCGTAAAAGTCCGGCAATACGAAGGTGAATGTGTGCTCCGTGCTCTCCGGCGACTCTGTGGAGTGACTCTCCTGGGCGGGCATAGGACTTGATGTCGTCACCATCTCCCCGGTGCCCATGGAAGAGCCAGTTGCAGCCCATGCAGAAGAAGCTGTTGAACTGGTTATATGCTCCTCCGTGCTACTTGTGGCGGTAGAGGTACTTTCAAGTTCGAGAGCAGAAGACTTCGACAGTGGTTCTGAACCAGCTTCAGTTGTTGTTGTTGTTGCTGGTGGTGTGGTTTTTGCCTCCGTAACTGCGGCCGGCAGAGAGGACTCAGGCACATCGGAGCCTGGAGACTCCGGTGCAGGTGAATGCGTCTCCGTAGAGGAGGGTATGCTTGGTGGGGGCGTACTGGTTGGGGCTGTGTCAGCGTCAGAAACAGAGGTTTCAGGACTGCTCTCCTGCTGGACAGCTGAGGTTGTCGCCGCGCCTTCTCCGCTGGCCTTCTGAATCAGCAACTTTGTCGGCCTGCTCACGGTCTCCTCGGGCGGGTTCGAAGTGCTTGTTGCGGCGGTCTCACCGGAGGGCTGTTCGCTGCTATGGTCTTCGGTGTGGACTGCTGTCAGTGGAACAGTACTACTGACGTCACTGGCTGCGGAGCTATGACTCTCCGAAACTGTCGTCTCCTGCTCCACCTCACTTACTGATGCAGGGGATTCTGTTGTCCAGGCGTCGGAAGTACTGGCACTTGAGGCAGCAGCCCCTGAAGCGCCTTCCAAGTCTGCAGGTGCAATAGACTTCTCGGATGTTGTGGTCGGCCCTGTCGTTTCAGACGTCTGCGTTGAAGATGTGGACATGGCTGCACTCTCGCTCGAATCCGGACTGCCGCTGAGGGGGTGTAGATCCGTCGCAGGGCTGGGAACAGTTACTGTAAGGAAAAAAAACAGAATCCCAGTATGTGTGCCGCTTGTTCTATTTGTGGCCGCCCATTGTAAGTCAAGTCAGCCTGAGACTTTCTACAACCTACAGAAGGGGCACGTAAAAAGTCACTTGCCTGTGAAGGCCGCTGGAAGGGTAATCGTTCAATGATCGCTCACCCGCCCTCTCGGGAGGGAAAACGACGGGAAAATGTTGCTCGGATTGCCTACAGTCAAGTTTGTCTTCTGGCCAGCTGCTTACATTACGACTCGAAGCCGTCTTAAGATCGACTATCCAATGAAAAACAGAACCGATTAACAAGGACCGGTTCCCTGCCATTTTAATGTCCTCCATGACAAACAGGAAATTTTGAGTTTTGATCTGTTATCCTGATCATGGCCAGTAGAGTCCTGATGTTCGGCATCAAACAGAACCAATCAGAGTGCCGAACCCCGCTGGTCCTAAGCATTCAAAGCTTGGACGCAAACCAATGACGAGGTTGGTTAAATACGCTTCGTAGAGGTCACAAACAACGGTTGACACTGGTTGTAGCTGTCGGTAGGGAATCAAACGTTAAATTTTATTGAATACACGTTCTTGATTAAAGTCATATAGTCACCTGCTGGGTACTCAGTCCTGTCGTCTTTCTTTACCTCTTTGAACCTCATATCATCTTGACTCTCCGAAACCGACTTCAGCAGGGTGATTTATGTGATCTCATTTGTGGACCATTACAAATTGTCGCTAAATCTACATAAAAATGTCAACGGATCGCTAAAAATTTCTTAAGAAATTGATTTCGAAGTCCAACTACTAACGCAATGGCTCCATCGAAATTTCGCACAGTTATCGTCCATGAATGCGCCAAAAGCGTAACTTGTTGATTCTGCGATGCCTAAACACGTAGGTCTGAGCCTATAGACCTTAAATATACTGATCTACTACAAGTTCGCAGTTAATATCTAAGGAAATTAAAAAGTTACAATTTATAAATTGGAATATCTACCAGAAAGCAGCCGAACCCCTCGCAGCTGTGTCATGCAGCGGCAGAACATCGGCGAAACACGCGTGTATGGGCTTTTGGCTAGTACCTGTGCTGTTAGCATGGAATCGTCTTACCCTAAAGCATTGATTTTCACCAGTTTTAATCAAAATGTCGGGGAAACTGTTCAGTAAAGGGCTCCTAAAAACTCAAAAGGCCGTTCATGACGAAGCAGAAAGTGCAGTTTTTTGTACTGAAGGGGTGATAGGTGACGCTCCTAGAGGAATACCGCACACCCCAAATAACTTAACTGCAGACCGCATGCGTACTAGTGAACACTGCTTGCAAACCGAACATAATATACCGACAGATTATAGGATTTTGGACGTCAGAGTTACACTTCGACGCCGTCGGCGGTGATTTTTAAAAGCTGGGAGCTGGCACCTGATATCCTCAATCTGATGCATGCTCCCCGGTCAGATGAAACACCACAGTCTGCGACCACTAGAACATCCAAGAACCTGCTACGTGGGATCTCCTTTCCCCCGACGACATTCTGTTTTTGCAAGCTCCTTGAAATAGCACCTTGAATAGGGCTAAGTACTCCGCCCTGCGAATTTTACATATACGATGAAAGTGGTATAAATTCACTGCACAGATGATTTGCCGGCAAGACTGCAATGTGAAGACTGCATCCTGTTTTGCAAATGACCTCCTGATTCACAACTCAGACGTCCAGTTGGGAGGTCAACGGAAAGTTACAAAGTTTGTCTGTAAACTAAAATTCACCTTGTTGTTAACATTAACAGCTTACCCAAACTCATCTTGTTTTCGGCAAAATCCTATGCTTCGGCGTTCCGACAGCAGAGGGCTTAACTGAGGGAACGGGGTGGAACTAATCCATCGAGTCATACGCCTTTAAACGCATTATTAAGTAGTAAAACTGGAATACGTTGTCAAGACTATGGACTTTTAGGTAGTGCGAAACGGATTGGGCAAGGTAATACGAATTTCGTGTGTCAAAGGTGGCCCTGCTCCAAATTTCAGGGTATCAGGGTTAGGGTTGTGGTTAGGGTTATGGCTGGGCGGATTAAGAATAAAGTTAGGACACGGGAATGGGAGCCCCATGGAATTTAGCGCGACGCCACGTGTAGCACTGGGGATTGACCATATTCAAGTGTTCGACTGCAAAACGCATCACCCACTTCTTGGCTGCAAAATGTTTCATGTGCAGTAAGTAGCTTTCGAAGAAGACTGGAGCATCGAGCCGAAGATGAGGAAGTTAATAAGTACTGGGGTTTCCTGTTCAACTGTTCAGTAACGGATTTCTAGTTTTTAAATATCCACGGGTTCTAGCGGCAAAGGACGCTTAAGGGCTCGGAGTGCCCCGCACTGCCTACTCTGCGGACTGTAGGTAACAAAGAAGATTTACTGACCATGATATAGAGACGACTGGACTAGTCCCTTCTGGGTATGGCCGAAATACTCAACTCGGCCTCTTCCAACTTTATAGAACCTAGCTCTAGGTTACTCACTGCTCATTAGTAGGCTACCGCCTGCGAGGAGTCCGCGCCAACGTTTCAAAGCAAAGCACACCACCAATCAAGAACTGCGAAATATGTAATAATAAAACACTACAAAGGCAGTGTTTATGTTTTAAGGCGAACGGAAACGCTGCGCAGTCACGCCCTTGGGCGAAGGAAGACGTGACCTCACACGGTCGAGCCAGCGGCGAAAAGCGCGTGCGTGCTGCCTTTGTTCACTCCTGCGGACCAATCAGTGGTCGGTCGATCATTCGGGATTTTCGCCGCGAGGGCGTTCTCGCGCAAGAAACGGCCAATTCCTGACCAGTACGCCCCCCCCCCGGCCAGAGTTGAAGATCATGTGACGCAGGTTGACAGGGTGGTGGCCGTGCCTAAAACCCGCTTTCGTTCTCTTCCATGCATTCGTCGGCGCATGGCAATGTGTAATTTTGCAAAAGAGGCAAGTGATTCTTGTCCGGAAGTTGGCTTTAAATGGGTTGGACGACGGTAACGGAATGTCTGGCCTTGAGGCCGTACTACGTTGTGGTTCGATGAACCGTAGGCCTGATTCCTCCTTAGCTGGACTGCCGCGTTTTTGGCGATGAGTTGTCAATTCTTGTGAAAGTATCGAAACCGCGACTAGACAAGTGGTAGCTGTTGTCTGTTCAATAAAAAGAACTACGAAGTCATGCAAAACTCCCGAGTCGATCTTTATTCCCACGCTAGTGATTTGCATGTTTTAAAAGAGCCAAATTAGCTTGGGGTTTCCAAATTATTTAATCGTAAAACATTTTTTAGCACAAATAAATTAGTGGGGCAATACACTGGACACTCTCCTCTGCTCCACGAAATACGTGAAAATCAGGTAATAGACTCTACTGGGGCTCACCAGTTTTTCGGCTATGAGAAGATGTCGTGTGTAGAATAGCCTTGTCGACAAAGACAATGGAGACCGAAATGGCCATTTTAGGCTTATTACCCGTTGTCAGTCCCTCTTACCCAGCCCCGAAGTGTGGAACACCTGGGGCTTGGTCACGCTACCTGTTGGTTAGAAGTCCAACGCCCCTAACCACTGAGCCACAGGCTCGTTGTCCGGTCGGTTGCGATCACGTACATAAGATGGCAAATAGGCGCCCGTCTTGCTAGATTTGCATCTGCTAGTTACTGCCGAAGATTAATCAAGGTATGCATCTACACGGAAACTGAATTTGTACCTTCTCACTTAATAAATCCAGTCTTTAGGAAGACTTTTATGTGGAATTTAGATTCTCTAACGAGACCTCTAAGGATACTCCGGTGATATGGGAAGTCTGCTATCTTCTGTTTAAGCAGTAAACGTTTATAATGCAGGCATGCTGATGCCTAGCCTTGATATACGCGTCAAAACATTCAATACTACCACTCCCTCTACCACTGTTTATACTCAATCTAAACCGACCGCACAACGTGCCTGCAACTCAGGGGTTAGGGCTTTGGACTTCTAACCAAAAGGTCGCGGGATCGATCCCCTGGTGTTCCATACCTCGGGGTTGGGTATGACTCGCTGAAGACGACTAATAGGCCAGAAATGACTATTATAATCTCCCTAGTCTTTGTCTGTAATGCCATTCTGCCTATATCATGCACCGCTGTGCGGCTGCTGGTTGGACTCGAGAGAGAGCCCGTAAGAACGATCGGTAAGCGCGTCCTACCATTGTATATTCCCGATCGAAACCGGCAGGGCAACGGGCTCGTAGCCCAGTGGTTAGAGGCGTGGGCTTGTAACTAACAGGTAGCGAATTCGAACGTCGGGTGTTCCACACTTCGGGGTTGGGTATGACTGGCTGAAGACGGCTAATAAGCCAGAAATGGCCATTCCAGTCTCCCTTGTCTTTGTCGGTAATGCCATTCTGCCTATATCATGCGCCGCTGTGCGGCTGCTGGCTGGGCTCGAGAGAGAGCCCGTAAGGCACAACGTGCTCATTCGGGGGAATTTATAGTTTTCGTTCGGCTTACGAGCACAGTTTTAGGCGGACCAACTCAAAATACCTTTTCAGAGTTTGCCCGATTCTGTTGTGCGGCGGCAGTTCGAACGTCGTTGCCGTAATGCTATTTTGTCTATATTACGCGCCGCTATGCGACTGCTGGCGGGGCCCGAGAGATAGTCCCAAGACACAACGGGACGAGCGAGCTCTCTAGCGAGATCAATGAGCGCCCATCTGCCAACGTCGTGTGTGTATGAGCTTTGTTCATGTCCACTTACCTCCTTTTGAGGCGACCCATAACAGCATTTCCGAAGGCAAGAGCTTTTATTTTAGAGGAATTCAAAGGGTAAAGTTTCTAGATGTTTCAGACTATTCGATGGAGTATGTCAGTCGCAATACCTTGTCGCGACATTTTACACTAACAGCCGCTTGAAGAGCGGTTCGTTTTGCTTTCATAAGCGTACTTACATCCCAACTCGCAGGAGCTCAATATGGGTTATCTCTGCGGCATTACGCTTCCCGGTTAGACTTCCGAAAGGAAATCTACCCTTCTGCTCTCGCGGTTAGAAATTTGATTCATTTTCGTATATATGAACCTCGAAATTCCAAATTCACATTGCCCACGGCCTCGCAAACCCATCGTTCTGTGATTTTCAGTTAGAGGGACTAAGTAAGGTACCTTCTCGGACTTTAGCGCGAGGCCATCTGCGGTACTGGGAATCCCTATTACCCTGTCCGACCGTCTACGATTTTCCACACAAACGTAAGACTGGGAAACATTTGTTGTCTAACGGAGTACTTTTGAAAGCCCTTTGCCTACCAATAACTTTTGCCTGTTTTTTGCTTATTTTCGCCAATTTTTTAGAAATAGCAATCATGCAGGACGGCTTTTTTAACAAATCAAAAATAAGACTAAAAAGATGTCGCTGTAGGAGACAACTCGGGACACTACAAAAGACCCCCGGCAAAGCACAAAACCATGCATAAATAAGAGCTGGTCATACCATCTGACTCCATCCATGTCTGTAACGACGCATAATCTTGAGGAGGTAGGAGGGAGAGCACTGGAAGCCAGAGTGGGACAGAACATGAACCAACTATATGTGTGTAAACCTGCACACCGTCTGCTGATGATTGTGAGAAACGCGATGAGTATGGCTAAAGTTTCCTATCACTTCTGCTATTTTTGAAAAACCCTGTTATTAGGGTTTGGCAAAAGGGCCATGAGGAGTCAAAAAGACTTTTTAAACAGCTGAGACATCTCCTGATTTCTGATAGGCAATGTGTGAACTGTCATACAACAGTGGCAGGTGTTTGCTGTGAAGAACCGACGAACTCCAAATGTGGGTCTGGTGTCAGCGGTCACTTTTCTAAGTATTAAAATACTCTCCGAGAAAACCAAAGATGCAGTTCGGTGAAGCTCCTCAAACGCGACACTTCTCAGACTTCTAGAATTGTTAATATTTTGCGACCGGATGTAACGAAACTGTGGCACAGTTGCGAGCCACTTACAGCACGCCTTCTGTACTCGTACACTGCAGGGACTGTGCTGTTTATTCGGATGGCAGTTTTTGCTCAGTAACCACGTGACACAGTTCGACTGTCGCATCCGACGATGCTTACGCGTGCTCCACAGCAGGGTGGGCGCAGGGACGGTGATTTGCGCGTGAATTAGTTTACTGTGATAGTAGACTTGCGCAGCGCCTACCACACTCTCTCCTCATCACCTATCTGGGCCCTGTGTCAAGACAGAGTCGATGAGGTCGGAAGTGGGAGAGGCGGCACGGCCGGACTCGCACCTAGGCGTACCACCACACCCCCTGGTTCACAACAAGCACTTAACCAAGATTTTAACCAACCAAAAATGGGTGGACGGCAGGGATCCCAACTAGGGTGGCATGAGCCAACAACTGCGCATTTGCGATAACGTCTACCAGAATCTGATGTAGCCCCCCGTGTTGGTCCAGCGCATCAACCATGTGGCCCGTTTTAAGAGGGCACAGGTAACCACATGCAACCGACAGTAGACGTAACGCTACTCCTTTTTTATTTGCATCTCCTTTTAAATGTTTCGTCCTGCGCATTTGGCATACTTGTAGACATTCCCAACCCTGAGTTTTATGAAAAGTCTGTGATGGGAGAATGCCACTCCCAGACTACACATCATCTGCTTTCTTTCACACAGCATAGAAGTGGACATGCAAAAAACTACGGAAAGTCAATTAACTTCTTGCCACTTGGAACCCGCAAATCGCACTTGACGAACTTACCAGTGGTTTCCACATCCTTGGCCAACTGAACAGTCGAGTGAGCAAATGCACTGGTAGAAAGGGAGAGGAGGAGTAGGGTGATCACGGCAAACATATCGCCTTTTCAAGATCAAGTGAAAGCTCGCGCGCCGACCACGGAAGGCAATGTGTAAAGCTGCCTTCACGCCACAAAGTGTGAGTATTTATAGGGAGCATTCTGCAAGGGAAAGTTAAATGCTGGTCTTCAACCGCCATAACTCATTATTCAGGGGAACAGCAGGGGAGATTTACGGCCTGTTCCTCTTTGAATCGATTCGCTGCCACTTCTTACACAAGGACAGTTTCGCCAAATCCAGCGGAAGGAAAAACGGCAAGGCGCGAGAATAGGAGCCACCCCCTCCCCCCTACTCCGGGGCTTTGGGCTGCCTTCCAGTGAGATTAGGATCAGTGTTAAGGTTAGGGGCGGGGTGAGGATTAGTGTTAGGGCTAGGGTTAAGACATGGGAATATTTGCCCTGCCCGGAATTTTTACCAAGGGAGAGGGCTTCTTTTACTGTCTTACCGTGGAACAATTTACTCGCTGGTAGCTTCATGTAGGCGACGGTAGGTTGTGTAACCCCACCTCGCAACCAGTAATCCCAGACCCGTGTTATACCTTAATGGTGGTGGTAATAGGGGTTTTACGGGTGGGGCATCACCGAGGGGGGGAAGCGAAACGAATGCTATAAAACATAGAAAACAAACAAATTTTCGCTGACATTCTTGTCCTACGCCTATGCATCGCAACGGAATTTAACGTGTTACATGGAAAATAGCCAAAACTAACTCCCAATAAATAAAACATATTTGAATAAACCGCCGTTCGTGAATATGAAGCAGGCGGGAAACCAATATAACGAACAACCAATAGGAAAGATCAGCAGCGAGTGACAAATAATGTAGCTGTAAAAAGTTACGACGAGGTAACGTGATGCACGTTAATGTTAGAGGAACTATGCAAATACACCCTAATGAACAAGAACAAAGTCAAATAAAGTAAGTTTGAACGTTTGTTTGTATCTGTTTGCTAAGGCAACTTGTTAATGTAATATAGAACATTAATAAAAATAAATATATATGTAAACGGTATGCACAATAAGGAAATGCGTCAGTAAACAAAGTAGGCAATAATGCCTATCTTTTTTTGCCTTGCAAAATACAGACCATCGGCTCTAGGTCGAAGAAAAGTCAGATTTAGGAATGTGGAAGAAATAACCGAAACTATAAGCTCAGGGAAGGTGGTGGAATACTGTCGAACAAGGAGACTGATGCCTAATTTGGCAAAATGCCAATTTGGATGCTAAATTCATCAGTATTAAGAACTGCACACTCAATCACACCAAGCACTTTAAGGATCCGACCACAGGAAAACACACCAATGCGATTGAGGCCTATTGGATCAGACTGAAACGGTAGCTCCCCGAGGGAGGACCGATGTCGGGTCGTAGACGAGGTTTACTGTCGTCTGCGGTTTGGCTTAGACTGCGTTGGCCTAAAGCAAGCGTGGGAAATATACCTGTAGCATATTGCGGAAGCACATACGGCGCAACAGCTCCCCGAACAAGGAACCTGAAGGGTTCCTTCCTGAAGACAATTGAATGGCCACTTGTGAGTAAATTTTTATAAATAATGTCAACTAAATTTCACGGTCTTACTAGTGGTTATGTGAGGAACTGAGCACAACTAGGCTAGATCCCAGTTGATAGCCCGGACCCGCATTACAGGTGGCTAGCGGATTTGTTTACTGGGGTTATTTTGTGGGGCTCCATAATCACATCTGACCCATTTGGCTTCCCTTTTACGTTTGAGGTTAGGATTAGGGTACCGGTTAATGGTTTCCGATTTTCCGGTTAGGGTTACGCCTTTAGGCTTAGGTTTTCAAGTTATGGTTAGAGTTTGAGCGTACGAATATGTTCCAGTAATACGGTTATGCTTCTTAGTTACGGCTATGCCTAAGGGCTACAGTTACTTTTAAGATTTCGGCTAGAGTTAGGGTTAGGGTTGCCGTTAGAGTTAACGGTTAACGGTAACGGTTGAGGTTAGGGTTAGGGTTAAGGTGGGGATTAGGGTTAAGTTCGCCGTCCGCTTCCCATTCCGGGATACTAACTGCGACCTAGCCCACAACTATTCCTGAGGAAGTAAGTAAGTCACGGCGCATGCGTTCGATAACAGAAACCGTCTAGAGTTTCGAGGAAGCCGAACGTTTGTGTTCTAACTGAGATAAAGTAAACCAAAACGCAGCTGACGGTCCTTAGAGCACGCGTTGTATAGTGAGTACCGGCATGGCACAAGAAGATCAAACTGGTCTTCTACGAAAATAGAATAAGTCACTGCGTATTAAATCGACAACAGGAGGAAACGCAGGTACATTCATGTATTAAAACAAATGTAGCAGTTAGTGATGCATCTTAAACCCAGTGGGGTTACACAATCTGTCTTTACCATGGCGTAAATTCTGTCACCCGTTATTCAACTTTTCAAACCTGCCGTGATGTTCGCTGACATGTCGTAGGGCTAGCACGCATGGTTCAGACCTTGCCGTCGTCTACCTACCTGTAGACCCCTGACAGAAGGACCCCTTGTTGATAAGAAGAAGAGGAAGAAGAAGAAGAAGAAGAAGAAGAGGAAGAAGAAGAAGAAGAAGAAGAAGAAGAAGAAGAAGAAGAAGAAGCAATCGCTGGAACAAGGGCTTTATTCACCTGACGTTTCGGATTCTCACTTGAACCCTTGTGTTCCATGAGCGAGCAGCAGAAGGAGAGTCAGTCCTGCCTTCTAGCCTTTTGCACTTAGACTACGCCAACCTTCAACAAGGAGTGCCTGCAATTCCGAGAAGTTCATAGATGTTTTGGCAGATTTTGAATAATTCCTATTGGCCCAACTGTGAAAAACTCGGCGCCTTGGTGGAATTCGAACCTACGCAGTAAGGGCAAGGCTTTGGAGCGTTGGCTGTACTAAAGCCTTCCCCTTACTGCGTGGGTTCGAATCCTACCGCTTCTTCTTCTTCTTCTTCTCCTTCTTCTTCTTCTTCTTCTTCTTCTTCTTCCTCTTCTTCTTCTTCTTCTTCTTCTTCCTCTTCTTCTTCTTCTTCTTCTTCTTCCTCTTCTTCTTCTTCTTCTTCTTCTTCTTCTTATCAACAAGGGGTCCTTCTGTCAGGGGTATACAGGTAGGTAGACGACGGCAAGGTCTGAACCATGCGTGCTAGCCTTACGACATGTCAGCGAACATCACGGCAGGTTTGAAAAAGTTGAATAACGGGTGACAGAATTTACGTCATAGTAGAGACAGATTGTGTAACCCCAGTGGGTTTAATATGCATCACCAACTACTACATTTGTTTTAATACAGGAATGTACCTGCGTTTCCTCCTGTTGTCGATTAAATACGCAGTGACATACTTTATTTTCCCAGAAGACCAGTTTGATCTTCTTGTGCCATGTCGCGAGGCCTGGCCGGACGACGCGAGTTTAATCACATTTGGGTCAAGTTACCCGCCCAACCTACTGCAACGTCTGGAATCCGGCGGGGTCTCGTAGCTCAAGTGGTTAGAGCGTTGGCTTTACTAGAGCCTTCCCCTTATTGCCTGGGTTCGAATCCCACCGAGGTGCCGAGTTTTTCACAGTTGCGTCAATAGGAATTCCGATAAGTTACAGTCGCTGGCAGGTAACGAAAGGTGCCGCACTCTTGGTGAACATGCAGCGTCACACTGCGGGATTTGTGCGCGTACATAACTGGAAAACAGTGCGGGCATGCAAATCACGCTGTAAGTCAGCTTGCAGGTTTATGCTATCGAAACTGTTCGGGCCTTCTTTTAATCATATCCGAGCCATTACATGTTATACTCGTCCCAACTCTCAGTTTAGCGGAATTCAGCGTTAACACGATGCCCCAAGTAAGTCTTCGGTTGACCTATGTGTTCTGAAGGGGAATGTATACTGTCCTTTATAAAGGCTGGATTGTTACTGCTGAACTACAAACCTTTTTCAGCCACAAGCTTTGTTAGTTTTAACGACCTAGTTTGTCGCGCGTTTTAAGTGATTAAAAAGAAGCCCTGTCTTAGTACTCCGTTTGCCCAAGCTGCAAGGAATATCGTTAATCAACATGGAGACAAATGGATAAATGAAACGGGCAACGCATGAGGATAGGAGACCCCGTTGTGTCTTAAAGATCTACCTTTCAAAACTTGAAACTTAAAGCAAGCAAGGACAGCAGAATTTAATGGTACCACAAAATTTCGCGACGGCTTCTCAACTGCTGCCGGTCGTTGCATAACAGAAATAACAAGTGAGAAATGTACGAAGGTTTGAATTTCGACAGAGAAAATCGATGTAAAACAGCAAGGTCAACGTGTACTGCGCGTAGACTAATCGATAAAATGGTAACTTCAAAATGCAACATAGGAATGAAAATGGGGAACTAGGCATGCCGAGGGATTTCGAAACTCAAAAGGGGCTCGGGCTTACCAGGGCAAGCTGAGGTTGACCACGTGGTCTAACTGTTTACATAGGTCGGGTTTCTCCCGCCGTATATAGGCCAGTCGAAAAGCAGATGTTTAGAAATCATTTGAAGCCCTAAAATATTCGCCCCGAAAATACCTCGCGAAAACAATATCCCTTTTTATCAACCTAACTTGATGTCTTCGTCTACACACTTCCACTTCCTTACTCCCTGATCAGTGATGTTTCGTGGCTAAAAGGAGTCCCCAACTCGTTTTTATTTGTAGATTTTCGCATTCTGAGGAGTATGCTCAGACCCGTCTGAAGGATGTAGTTAAGTTCGTTTTGAACTAAAAGAACGATGGTTCTCATCATACTTCCTTCCTTTCGTATGCGCAGTTTACATATTGCCATTTATCCAGATTTGATAAAAAGAAAATGTGCGTCCAAAAACCTTTTTTCACACTGTAAGCTTGCAGCGTTGACCTCATAACTTTGAGAAACCTGCTTGGCCATTGTGTTTTACATGAGCGACAACGCATTCTTACCGCATTGAGACACATTAAGCTTACTTCACTCAGATGGTAACCACTGCGCTAAACACTGTGCTAGGCTATAGCTCTTCCTCTCGGCTGGCCAGAGTGCTCTCAAGGGCAGACACTTGCAAATGCCGGAAAAGGTTCCCATACCATTTTTGGCAGTTTTTAGACTATGTCATAGCGACTTAAAAGAATGTTGGAGCATTAGTTTCGTCCGCCCGACGTTTTGGAATTTGAGCTGCGATCGATTATCGGGAGCCTGTAGGTAGAACTCTGATCCATGCAACACAGTGTAGACGGTAGGGTGCTACTATAGCGTGATTCCTATCTTTATTTCTTGTTCCAATTTCAGCATACCTTCAAAATGTTGCTACGAAAGTTCTATACTGAAGTGATGCAGAGTGAAGAAGCGGTGTCACGATATCTCCTCCAACATGTTCTCTTGGTAGAGAAAAAACCATGCTGCAAGTGCGATGGTCCGGTGATGTTCACGAACATGAAGGACCGTGGACAGAATGTGTCGCTATGGAGATGCAGAAGGTAGGGCTGCCAGTCTGTTCGCTCAGTAAGAAAGGGGAACGAATTCTTCAATTATTGTGATTTGAGCAGAAGACTGCATTGTAAATTGAAGCTCTGTGAAATTTGGAAGTTAGTTTATTACTGGGGCAACAAAATGCCACTGGAAGTAGTGCCAAAATCTCGTAATTAAAAACTTTTTTAAAACCCCAATTATACTCCTTTTTCGAGTAGAAAATATAAAGATTATCATATCCTCTACCAAATGACTGAAAAAATGCTTATTTTTGTTCGTGGTTTCTCTAAAATATATTTTAATTTGCAAAACCATCGAGAATCAATGGGAAACATGCATGCTAACTCAATAGTCATTTTTTACCTGTTACGGTTTCTACAAGAGATTGAAACGCGGGGTATTCGAAAGCTGACATCCTGCCGCGTCCGAAATATTATAGGATTATGCCGCAAGATAATCAGTATTACAACCGCGCCTAAGTAATTCTTCCTAATCGAAAACGCATCTCAGAATTTCAGCCAATATTTCATGAGATCGGTCACGCACCGTATGACTCATCACAGCACTCGTCCGGCAAGTTATTGGGGAGGTGTACCCCAACGCACACATAAAAGTCCTTTCCTCGACCAAACGCATCTCCGAGTAAAGTAGTAGACACGATTAACGAAAACACGAATATGACTGGAAGCTACACTACTTGTCAATTCAGTCTTTTAAAAACTCCTAGTCATTGTTTTTGGATATACTTAAAGCACAGTGATGTCTTTGGCTTATCCATATTGAACGGAAGGCAACATATCGCTTACGAACTGCGACAGCGGTTCGTTACAAAAGGCAGATCTTGGTAATCAGTAATTTTTGGCCCCTCCGCCAGACTGAGATCTGACATTTCCGGCATGTGACAATGTAAACTGCATAGGAGTGATTTCACTATAAGTCGAGCACAGATGCCAACTAAAAATCCAGACGTGTGCGTCGCCGACTTCCTGCCACTGGATGACGCAAGACCAATAATTTCGAAGTCGAGCCTGTGAAGTCTTGTCCGGAACCACTTAGTCCAAGTCCTTTCGTTGATTTCTCATGAAGGCATGAAATCAGAGGATACCATTGATAACCTTGATTTATACGGTCGGTACGTGGACTGCATCTTCTGCTTTATAAGTCGCACCACCAACACCAATGGCCTAGTTCAGAAGTCTAACAAGACGCTGAAGTTTGCCGCAGACACTGAGACGAATAATGGAATCGTGGTCCCCGATATCCTTCTGCACAGACACGAGGATACGTCCGTCACAAGGTATTCCGAAAGGAAAGCAGGATGGGACAGTACATTAATTTTCAAGGTTTCGTTCCCCTAGATCTAAGACGAGATTAAGTCCAGGAATTGGCGGTTAGAGTGCGACGCATCTGTTCTGAAGCTATTAAAACAGAGCTCTAGCAGCTGCAGAATATGCCCCGCGAAAACGGCTATCCGGAGAGATTCATCCTACGGCCTATTAGGGGGCATGCCACAAGGCCTGCCATTACAACTACAGAAAAGAGACACTGGAAAGTAGACAATATGCGGCCCAACTTTGCATATTACTTACTACTGCCTACTGACTCAGACTAAAGTAGTGTTGTTTTGCTTGGGTATACTGATTGAATTTTTTCAAGATAACATCAATTTTCGCCTAAATATCCCATTCAGCTTATTTGTCGGCCGGTATACGCGCTAATTTGATATACTTTACCTTTGCTGGCTACCTTGGCGGCTTCCCTGTGTTCCGCTGTTCTGCATCCGTATGTCGTGCCGTTGGGTTAACTTTCCCACTTCACTCTTGTGGGGTTCGCAAACGTCATTCCTCCTCGGGTTTCTATTGGCTATTTCACTGCCTTGATCTCTGAACTTGGCGTCTTGTTGTGCGGGCGCCATATTTACCCTCCTTTGTTTTTTTGGTGTTAAATCTCGCTAGTATTCAATTTTCCGGATCGCTTTCAAGTTCATGCTCTGATCTATTTGAACCTATTCATAGAATTAGAACATTTTTTCCAAAAATTCATCCTTTTCGCCGCCCTTCTTCCCATTCATTAGCCCCACCCATATAACCCCTATTTCCACCGGTCCCATAAGACACGATGACCTATTCTCCACATTCTGGATGGGGCCGCATATTGCTACATTGCCGAAAGACTTGTTTCTAAAACTGCCTCTTCTAGGAAACGCAATAAGCGGCCTAGTGAGACGACGTATAAGGACAGCTATCATGAGTGCTTTCCCCATCGCGAACTTGCGTGTGTTTTTCGCAAACCCTCGCCTCCTACGGTTGCGGGGTCAAGACCGACTGCCGTTGCAGGTCACATAGATGGTATTTATTCATTCACTTGTTCTGGTGGAGCAGGATATATTGGCCGTACAACGAGGCCTCCGGAAAGAAGGCTACACGAAGCGGTAGCAATCGGGAGATGGCACCCAAACATCCGTTACATAGAAATAATGCCTACTCTATCTATTTGAGTAGGTTATAGACCTACATATTTGTTGTTTCATCCGACCTCATAGTCTCCAACAGTTGAGATGCGAACGCTGAAGGCCGAGTCACGGTTAATCAACCTTGAGCAAGGCTTACACGGCTGGCGAGTGACAGCAGTAATGGGGTTAGGTAAAGAGGAAAGTCCATCGATTTCATGTTCACATCTCACACATCTAGTCGATATAAGGAAGCCTTTCAAGTTATCTACCGAGCACCTAACCACTACTCTAAAGGCCTATGTAAACGGGTGCTAGCAACATCAGAAGTAGCGGCTATTCGGTTACCAAATCCAGCACTTTGCTGTCAAAAGACGTTGATACAGACGATCTTTCATGGTCAGCTCCAGGCGGGGATCTTACGCCGTCCCTAACCCCCTGCGAACACTGCGCATGTTTGACGTGCAGAAATCAGTAGAGGGGCGCTCGCCGATCGCGTTACGGAACTCATTCGTCCCGTTGGACCTTGGGGCTCTCTCTCGAGCCCCGCCAGCAGCCGCACAGAGGCCCATAACATAGGCAGAATAACAGCGCTCACGCCCTTCTCCTCCCCCCTTCCTCCCTACTCTAGCTCCAACGTCCTCAACACGCTGACTCCGTCATGCAGGAGGCGCGGAAACGAGTGTGACTAACCTCGCCCTCCCCCCTCCCCCGGAGACACGCAATAAACCCTATCTGTAGCTCACAAGTCCATTCTCCATGTAGTTGTTGTAGTCTGATGATGAATTACCAGGAACATGTGTTCACCAGTTGACTTCTTAAAATCAAACTAACCTCTTTCAGCCTTCAAAAGTAGGGGTGGTGGCCAAATTACCCGCCCTAGGGAGGATAGTCTAGTCCCTACCACACTAAATGTACCCAGCAGTGGTAAGCTTATTCGACAGGCCACTGCGGACTACCATGTGCCCCTTGGATTCGACGGTGCTGTGAGGAAAAATGTGCTGGCTAGTTGAGCACCCTTCAGGTTATATTTTCTGCATGCTTGCATGCACTGCCTACCAGCCTGCCTTAACTTACCCATTTGAGTCTTATCAAACTAAGGAATGCCTTTTGGAGCCTTTCGGTAGTTGTTTTGCTAGGGAGGACTATGATTGGTCAAATAGACAATCTAAGGCCGGAAGAGTTCACCAAAGAAATTATTGAGTCAAGCCGTAGGTTATGGTGAACGCTGCCCGTTTCCTAGTTGTGGGAAGTTGCAGCAGCAGCTACCGTTAATTAATAAAGCCTAAACAAGATGGAAAAGAGAGAAACGATCGACAAGTGCCATGGGCGGAGGCCAAGGGAACTGTGATTGGAGTCAACAGCCAACCATGCTCTACTCTTAGGTGACCATCAAGTAAAGGTCAAGAGATCCGCCACTTGAGCCACTGGCCTCCTTCTATTGAAGGGCCATAACCATCAGCCAAATCTCCGGTTACCATAGCAGGCTTCTACTTTGGTGAAGCTTTTATCAACAAACATAAATCAATACTACAAAGAAGATGAAGGTGCAATCACTGAAACAGCAGTTATACTAGCCCGAACTTTCCGAGAAAAATAATGAAAGTAACTACAACGTGACTGGAATCTGGTGTCAGTGAGCAGACGGGACAACCTTTTATAGCAATTATGGTCATCTTGCACAGCTGTAAAGCCAACAGGGGTCTGGTTGGCCATATTATAAAAGCAAGCTTAAAGGGGATATCGTCCTCCTACGACCTCTCGGAATTAGCATCGTTCGTACAGCCAGTGACCGGTCTCATGAAATGTTGGTCGAAAATCAGAAATACGTATTTGATTAGAAAGGATAACTTAAATGAGGTTGTAAAATTGATTGTTTTGCGGCATAATGCTGTAGTATTTCGGACATGATACGATGTTGGCTTTAAAATGCGCTTCTTCTCGGCCGCCTGCAGTGACTGCACTCGGCAAAAATGACTAATTTAGTAGTAGGTATTTTTTGTTGATTTTCGATGCCTTTAAAAATCAAGATATATTTTGTGAAGAAAATGCATAAAGATACGTTTTCTGATACTTATTTGCTAGTAAATCATGCTCTAGTAAAAATTTATACTCGAAGAAAGGACATCTTTCGGTTTTAAAAATGTTCCTTATTATTCATATTGACCCAACTGTGAAAAAACTCGGCGCCTTGGTGGGATTCGAACCCACGCAGTAATGGGAAGGCTTTACCACAGCCAACGCTCTAATCACTTGAGCTAGGAGGCCCAGCCGGACGACGAAAGTTTAATCACATTTGGGTCAATTTACCCGCCCAACCTACTGCAACGTCTGGAGTCCACCAAATCTGATACAGTACGTTGACTGCCCAGGCAGGATTTCCTAATTAGTCTACCTAGAATCCACAGATGACTACCAGGCGTACGTAATCCCTAGATGTTTTGGCAGATTTGGAGCGTTGGCTGCGCTAAAGCCTTCCCCTTACTGCGTGGGTTCGAATCCCACCGAGGCGCCGAGTTTTTCACAGTTGGGTCAATATGGCTTATTCAAAATCTGAGAAAACATCTGTGAGTTTCTAATTATGACGTTTTTAAGGCCGTGGAATGCCTATGCAAATAGCATGACATTCGTATGTTTGATAATTCTCCTAATGGAATATACAATATAGTCCTCATCCGTTGCGAAATTTTATGAGCCCTGTATGGTATCTACTTAATGGCATAAAGGAACGAATGTTTTTCTTTACACGGAAAGTATAAGGCTAGTAGACTGAAAATCTTAAACACAAACGCGAAGGCAGATCGAGCCCAAGATTATTTTGGAGGTGAAAAACCTCTTAAAAACCTAAATTACTCTTTGTTTGAGTATAAATTTTAAATAGAGCATGATTTGCTACCAAATGGGTGCCAGAAAGCGTATTTTTATGCATTTCTAAACAAAATATATCTTAATTTATAAAGGCATCGAAAACCAACAAAAATACCTACTACATAAGTAGTCCTTTTTTACAGAGTGTAGGCTTTGCAGACGACTGAAAAGAACCGCATTTAAGAACCAACATCCAACACCCCGTTTAAGTTATCCTTACTAACTGAATACGCATTTCTGATTTTCGACCAACATTTAATGAGATCGGTCACTGAATGTACGCCTGACCACAGTGCACAGACGAACCATGGAATGTGAGGGTCCTCTGCTGTGAAGCAAAAGGTCGCCTGCGGTTCGTCGAAATCAATGCAGTTTGCGCCACGGCCGTGCCAATGCCTGCAAAGGGCTCTATGTTGGAGCCCCAAGGCCAAACGGGACAAGCATGTCCTGCGACCCGATCGGTGAACGCATTGTCAACATAATCTCTCGCCCAAGTGCACAGATATGATCAGTTTGGGAGTAAGGATGTTTAAGAATGGGTTCGACAAGAATACGTACCCTGGTATCCTTTGCGTTTCAAGTAACGGGAGCACGTCGAAAGCTCGCATTAGCACACAGTTCTCTAAATTCTCTATCGGTTTCTTTTTTTCTGAGAGTTTCAATCTTTTCTAAAGGCCAATTAATAAAACTTTTGCTGTACATGGAGATTTAGGCTATAGATTTAACCGCATTAGATTGTTCAGAACGATAAATGCCGTAGGAACGGAGTTCCCGGAGTCGACCACACTCTCTATTCCCTCTCACAGACATCAATCCACTGTCTGAGCCGATCAGCCATCTGACGCTGGGATTGCGAGCCCAATTTACAACTTCAGCAGTAGCTGAAACGGCTGCTGGTTGGACTCGAGAGAGGTCCCGTAAGGCACAACGGGACGAGTGAGTTCCGTAAGAACGATCGGTGAGCGCCCCCCACCATTGTATATTACCGATCGAAAAAAACCGACAGGGCAACGGGCTCGTAACCCAGTGGTTAGAAGCGTAGACTTCTAACTAACAGGTCGCGAGTTCGAGCCTCGAGTGTTCCACACTTCGGGGTTGGGTATGACTGACTGACGACGGCTAATAAGCCAGAAATGGCCATTCCAGTCTCCCTTGTCTTTGTCGTTAATAGCATACCGCCTATATCATTCGCTGCTGAGCGGCTGCTGGCTGGGCTCGAGTGAGAGAGAGCCCGTAAGACACAACGGAACGAGTGAGTTCCGTAAGAAAGAACTAATATTCTCGGCGTCATCTCTACTTATCTAGTGAGCTATGGAGGTCAGTCAGCCTGATCTAGGAAAACACGAGCTGCGTTACCACGAAGGCACTAAGATCGAATTCCGTTCAGATACTGAGTGCAACCCGATATTTGCTCGCCTGAGGGATTAACCTCGGTCGAGTACTCACTGAAACGGTACGAGCTGGCATAACTTTAAACAACCGGTGGTGTTTGAATGTAGTCGGGTTTTAGGATGGGTAGCTGTGCGTGTTTTGTTGCCTACTAATGGCCAAAACTGTCCTCGTCAAACATACATCCGCGTCATGTGTGACTGGGCATCCGGCGCGGTAAAGCGTAACGTCAATCGATAATTTGGCTCTCGCTGAATGGCTCTAGTGTACACTCGCACCTCGCGTTACCATTAGCAACGGCCACGTCTGAGTCTAAATGTGGTTTACCACTGCCCTGACGGTAAAATTCCGTCCGTATGGCGTAGGGCTACTCACCGATCGGGTTACGGGGCACAGTCATCCTGCTGTGCCCCTGAGGCCCAATCTCCAGCCCCAATAGTTGCTGATCATCGGCCAATATTATAGGCGGAATAACATAACCCTCAAAGGCGAGGGAGACTGGTGTGGGCATTTCTGACATCTTAGCCGTCGTCAGCCAGCCATGCCCGACTGTAGGTTTTTGCAACCCCTGAGGATCGAGCCCGCGTTCTGCAGGCGTCCAAAACCTCCACCAATTTCAGCTCCTCCCCCATCCTCTGATAAATAACTGCGCGATAGACAGTTGTCTTCTGTCCTAACCGATATAGATTATGTCACTCTAGGGTTCATTATCTGTTAATCACCTAAAACTACTGCACTTACGTGGGCACAATGTACTGTTTTATGCCATTTAGAACCCACCCCCGTTTCGGTCAACTTGTGATCGGAATACGCAGAGGTGAGAGGTACAGCTGCAATAACAGATAACTGCGTTCGAAGTCTTCTTTTTAAATAAAACCTTGCATTTAGTTCACCCAGGTTATAACATGTGACCACCAATTGTGTATCCTGGACGTTTTTAACTGAAAGCAGTAAACATTTGAGATTCAAAAGCATATTCATGTCAAAAACGGTGTAGCCAATTACTCAAATCGGACCTGAAAGATTTTGCCTCAATCTACGGAGACATCATCCCGTCAAGCACAGTGAAGTTTCGACTGATGACAGGTCATATGTTAACAGGATGGTCCCTGAGTCGCTCGGATTCCTTTTGAGACCACACTGTCAGCTCCGTCTCCCTGACCTCTGGCTGAGAAAACTTGTTGTTATTATCTGCTGTTATTCGTTGACTTCTACAGAAACAGCAACTTAAACGAACACTTGTCACTGACGTTGACGAGTGGTTTGCTGTGGTAGTATAACAGCAAAGTAACAACTTCCAGAACATTTACTACTTTTACAATCCAAGGACGACGGCTGTACTCTCCCCTATTAGATTTGACGTTTAAAACCCATCAGCAGAACGCAGGTTCCGCGATCAGCGGGCTGCTATTTAAACAAATATCTTAATATCTGGAGGAAATAGAGTTGCATTTTTGAATCTTTATAATGTCACCTTTTTATTGACTTATAGTATGAGGAAGTAATCGGGTGTATTGTTCTTTCAGTCAGATTCATTGTGTTCCACGACACACAGTGCCTCTATTATCTACCTTTTTAGACTTGCAGAGAATAAAAATGTAATCTGTCAATGAATTCCAGCAAAAAGGCTACTAGATAACATGCAGTTTACATAAATTCAAAACTGTTGTCACAGGTCGTTCGACAGGAGGGAGCAACTACGTTCCGGTTAACTGTTTGCCACATGTGATTCTGTAGCACGAAAGCACAGAGGACAACCCCAACGAACACTGACTTTGTCCATCTTTGCTCTTTTTTATGGACTGGTCACATTGAAAGCATCCGCTACCTAACACCCAAAGGAAGAAACCAACTTAGAGATGTACAGATCCGACGGTCAACTGCTGAAAACGCACACGATTCTGATGACAGCCCAACCATGGCATGTCCACCGTGTGCTCTACAGCAGAAAGAGTCGGATGATTTATGCGTGAGTTGGTTTGCAGTGATAGCAGACTTGCGTAGCATCTACCACAATATCTCACCCTCTCCCGAATGGGCCCGGTGTCATGGCCAAGTCAGGAAGACAGGGGGTGGGAGAGGGTGCAGGTGGCTGACACGGCCAGAACCGCCCCGATGGGTGCCACCACGCCCAGCTCGGCCCATACGGAGTGGAAGAGCCATAAAGGCCACATTAAGAAGGATCCATTGAAGCCTGGCTCTCAATCCACCAGTCTGTCATCCCACACAAACACACACATTGGGCTGACTACGAGGTTCAAGTTATCCTGTCAGCTGGCAGCCTTCGAAGCCACGGCTTTTAGCCCACCGTGATAGCGTAAAGCGCGTCCGATTGCTTAACGTGAGGAGGAAAATGCGCTGAGACCTTGACCTCGCTCTCTCGTCCCACTCCCAGGGCCCAGACCACTGTCCGGGCCGGTCAGATTCCTGAAGAGTGCGCAGTGGCTGACAGAACTGAAAGACCTCTAGTGGCCCAACTTCGAGCGCATTTCGCAAAGCTAAATCTCTCGCGATTACCCGCATGTGGGCAGTAATTGCAGTCTGGTTCTCGGTAGATGCCGGCTCTCCAAACTGGACAATCATCTTGGAGTCGGAATGAGACATGACCATGTTGGGGGCGCTGGACGACTGTCCCACAATCTCACACCAGCGGTCGCCGCTATCACGGTATCGAACGAGCCCTCGTCGACTGTCAATTCCTGTCAACCTCTTCTCTAATATTTCTGTACAGAATACAGCAACCTCCCAACTGGCGTCCCACTCCTCCTCCTCCTCCTGTTCGGAACTGGACGTGATGGTCGCAGTGGCTAGGGTCTCATTATGACTTAGCTGCCGTGATAAGTCCGTCTGCGCACGCCACATGCACGGCCAGGCCTCCAAACGCACACACCAATGTTACACAAGGAGATAGGACGCTCAGATCTCACATGAAGGAGAGGATCCACATGGAGAGGGGAGCCGAAAAGCATACTTATCACTTACATAAGAGGGGGGTGATGTGGGATGTTGGAAATGTTGGTACGTGGTGCATTAGTTGATAGGGGAATATTTGGTGATGTGGTTGTGCCTGCGGGGAGTTACCGCAGGTTTCCATGATGACCGAATACACCCACGCCGTGAGCGATTTGCTTGGACGGTATGAACGGTGGAGGCGGATGCGGTGTGGACATGTTGGTGCTCCTGGGACCGGTTTGTCAGTGATTGTACGACGGATCCGCATGTGACCGACCAGGCCGGTGCTTGATGTGCATGTGTGGTGGCAGTGAGAGCGAGATAGTTTAGGGACTGTAGAAATGGTTGTGATGGTGAGGCTGTTAACCGTGATCTTACTGATGGATAAAGGGTGTTAATGCATGTGTTGGGAGCGTTTTAGGGTATGCAGGTTGTGCATGAATCTCGATATTGCGATGAGCTCCGTTTTCGTGGGTGTCCATGCGACCGAATAGGCCCATGCGGTAAGCAAATGCGTGTGTGAAGCGCGAGCAGTGGAGGTTGGTGCAAAGGGTGCATGGCGGGGCTCCGGGCACTGGTGCATCGGTCACAGTACGATGGACCCGCAAGTGGCCGATCAGGCTGATGAGTGAGGTGGGTGTGCGGTCTCAATGAGGACATGTTGGGACCGAATCCGTATTGCTAGTGGTGAGGGCGGCTGTGATGGAGGTAGCAGCTGACGGAACGTCAGATGAATTCTCATCGCTGGTGGGAGTAAGAGAAGGGTTGGTGTTGGTGGAGTTGGTCGCTGTAAACAATGCAGGGGTTGAGGCAAAGATAATGGTGCCGCTGTGCGGGGGTGGCGGGGCGTCAGCAGTGTTACCACCGGTGTTGAGGGTGGTCGTCTTTTTAGGACTGGAGGTAGGGTGACAGTAGGGGTGTTCGTGGAAAGAGAACTTAACTTTGCCGGGTTGTTACTGCATAGGATCCGACGGTGTCCGTAGAGGCCGATTCGCGTACGGAATGCATGTTGACAGCGGGGGCATGTTGGGAAGGACTAAACGCTGCTGTTTGTGTCGGGAGCACCTGAGACTTGCGAGTTTCCCTTTGGACTTTAGCAGTGGCGATTCTGTTTGTTTCACAGATGGCTACTCTAGTTTCCACTTCTCCTCTGCGAGCTGGTCTGCCCTGGGCGAAGTCCTCCCAGGTCTCCGGGTTGGTCTACAGTCGCTTCAATAAGTTCTTCGAAGTATCCTTGCAGCAGCGGATTTAACCTATTTCTCGGCGAGCACCCATAGCGAGATCTCCGTAGAAGACATGTCTTGGTAGGCGAGCGTCTTCCATCCTCACCAGGTGGCCGATCCATCGTAGTTACAGTGCCTTAGCATGGCGCTGATGCTGAGGATTCCAGTCCGTTCCCGGACTTCCGTGCCCAGGATCCTGTCCTACCATCTCATCTTCAGTATTCTGCGAAAGTGATCCAGCTTTCTGGTCTGACTGGAGTACGCGGCCCAGGTCTGTGCTCCGTAAAGAAGTGTCACCAATACGACAGCCTTACAAATATTCAGTTTGGTATTTAGTTGAAGATCGTGGCAATTCCACACAGTGGCTTGCAGTCGGTCGGTGGCCTGACTGGCTTTTGACGCAACTTCGTTGTCGATTTCTATGCTGCGCGAGGGTGCGCTTCCTAGATAAGCGAAGTTATCCACCGTTTTCAGTTGACTGCCGTTGACAGTGAATCAAGAGGAGTTGTATTCCTTGTTAGGTGACGGCTGGTGCATGACCGACGTTAGGTCCGCGTTGGTAATTAGTCCGAAGTTGGCGCAGCTGGCGACAAAGAGGTTCATGCTCCGCTGCATGGCTGTTTCCGTTGAGGCGTTAATTGCACAGTTATCCGCAAGGGGGAGTTCATGAACAGTAGTCGTTGCTGTCGAGTGTTGAGAAGCTGGCCGCTGGTCCTGTAGGCGATGTTGATCTCAGGACGCTCATCGCGATAGGCAGCCAGCAGCATGCGGTGAACATGAGAATGAAGAGATTGGGAGCAGGTGCGCGGGCATGCTTCACCCCATTGGTTGCTGCGACTGCTCCTGAGACTGTCCCGTTGCCGGTGATGCCCGCCATAAGCCATCACGGAGCTAACGCACCGTGTGCGTGAATCCTTTAGGACAGCCGAGTTTCTGCATGATTTTCCAGAGTCCGTCACGATTCAACATGTCGAAAGTTTCTATCAAGTCCACGAATGCAGTTTAGAGGTGGATCCGCATCACCTGTCGCTTCTCTTGCAATTTCCGGACGACAAAAATCATGTCGGTGGTTCCGCGGTGTCGTCTGAAGTCATATCGGCTTTCTGTGAGAGGCCCTTGCTCCAGAGCGTCGCTGAGACGGTCTCGATGGACATGAGGGAAGGTCTTCTCGACGATGTTGAATAGCAAGCTTCCTCTGTGATCATCATAAAGTTTTCAGTCTCCTTTTCGCTTGTAAATTTGGACAATCGGCGCGTCCTCAAAATTCTGGAAAACTTGTCCTTAGTGCCGCATATCTTGAAACAGCGCTGCAATTTTTTTCATTAGCCGTGAGCTGCCGTGCTTGCAGATTTCGGTCGGGATTGTGTCAGCTCACCGTTTTCCCCCTGGAGCGCTTTGCATGGCTCTGATATCTTTCGGGAGAGAGACGGAAAGCCTAGGCCAGTGTTCGTTTCCACTTGGGGCAGCCGGCCGTTGGCGGCGTTGGAGATCGTGGATGGGTTGTTGTGGACGGCTCTGAAATGCTCGGTTCTATGCTTCAGAATTTGTGATTCCTCCATGGGGACTGCAGTGCCTTCGGAACTGAGAAGCGGCGCGATTCCTTTGGCTGTTTGATTTTTTTGATGCGAAGAAATCCTTTATTTCCTCGCGGCCAGCACACCCTTGCATTCCCTCGGTTTTGAGATCCACTTGGACGTGTTTCGCCTCCAACAGCCCTTGCTGCGCAAAGTGGCCACGTCTAATGAATGTGGCTTTGCTTTCTTCGGTGCGACAATTGATTTATGATTTATGCAGTCTATCTTTCTAGGCGAGCAGAACTGTCTTTGTCGTGAAATCAATCCTGGTGTCGGCGGCGTGAGCGAACGAGGATGTCCAGGGCGTGGACTAAATGGAGTTTCGTAGCTGGGGCTAGTGAGTCTTCGCGCTGACGATATGCATGGAGTCTGCAGTTCTTCCAGTCGCTAGGCCAGCTGGTCGCCGAAATGTAAACGGTGTGGGGATAAAGTCGACAGAAGAGTGTGCAACGTAACTGGTGGTTGCTTACCTTATGATTTTCTGCGAGATTGCAGGCAAAGCCCTGTCTTGGTAATGTCGAGACTGTCATCCGTCCAGCCGTAGGTTTCGTAGATCACCCTTGTCACCATCACGTTTTGTCGATCTCGTCTCTGGACGAGAACGTAGTCCAGTACCTGCCAGCGCCGCTATCGGCGGTACACCAAGGTCACCTTTTTCACGTTGGAAGGCGGAAGAAGTTGTTGTTCAGGAGGAGCAGGTGTTCCGCGCATGTTAACACTAACTAACCACATATCCACATTTTCCGACAACGCATCACCGAAGCTACGTGTTATCATACTACCTGCAGTAATTAAGTACGCATTTGTGTTTATATTCGTACGTCTTACAGACAGCAACTTGCTTGTTCGCCTATCTTTTTTTAATAAAACTGAACTGAACTGAGCACCTCGGCAAACACAAGCACCAAGGAGGGGCTTTTAAATCAAAAACAGCTGTCCGAAGAGAACTCGTAATGAAATATCTTGTCGTCAAAATATTCACGCAGTTTTTGTTTGACCAAACTTCGTCATCATGTTTTACAGGTACTCATACTGTTGACGTACAAAAAGTGTGTTGCAGAAATGTTTTGCCAAACTAGACCCCATCAATAACACCGTCTTGTATGTGTATATTTGTATTGAATGTATTTTAAAGGGTTACGGGTAGAGCCCTTGATGAACCTATTTGCGTGTAAGTATTTCGCATATTTACACTTTGAATAGAATTTCAAACATTTAACATGGGTTTGCTTCGCAGTATGAACGAATTTTTGAAAAATGCCGCAGTTCACTTCTTATGAGTAACGTCAAATGACGGTCTAACACTTGATTTCGCTATGTTCTTTGTAAAGACAATGCTTCGACACAAAGAGGTGCTGTGGAACAATCAGCAAGCATCAGACTTATTTTCGTACTGTTGACACTCGCATCAGTGATGATAGACTCGGGAGGGGCCTATGGGCCCGAAAAATCATATAAAATATCTAGCAACTTCGACCCAAAAATCGTTCGGGAATCTGCCCGGACTAAGCTCTGCCTTCTTTATGCAATTGCTCACAGTCTGTTCCAGAAGTTAGATAAGCTGGAAGTTTGGATATCAGATACGCAGTCCAATGTCACTCCTATCCGAGAGACATGGTTTCAGGCTGAAGTCTTGGATACCGAAATCGCATTCGATTAATACCAAATTTTTCATCGAGACAGACTGCATAAAAAAAGAGGAGGACTAGCGGTCTACGTCAAGAGAGGAACCATCGCGTCAGAACACAAAACTGATTGCTCCCGCGACTGTGAAGCGTTGTGGTTGAAACTAAGAATGCGTGGCGCCTAACTTAGAGGGCTTATCAATAAGCGCAATGACATATGGTTATGGACCCACGGTAGAATTAGTTGCCACCGCGAATTCCCATGTCAACAGAGTTGAGAACCGAGCCGAGGAAGCTTCTAATTCAAGGGGGTCAAGCTCTTTTCAGAGCCCTCTGATGGGAGGCAGTGCCGATCAACCACATCGTGCAACTATTCATGATGCCTCAACAAGATCCGCGGACGAACTTCACGGGGACATAAATATCAATGTGACGGCCCCTCCCTTTTCGCCAGTCCACTTCGACGAGGGCAAAGGACCGGTCAACGACGTCCAAACCGCAGAACACAGAGGAATGCATCATAATTCAGGGCCTCCCAGAGTCCTCCGCCAGTACCCCCAGGGAACGAGTCGCCGCTGACTTAGAGCAATTCCAGAAACTCCTAAATGAAATGCTGCAACCAACAGAAGATGTCACAGTCCTAAAGGCGTTTCGTCTTGGTAGCCGTACAACCGCCGCTCCACAGATACGACCAAGACCCCTGAAACTTGTCCTAGGTAGCAATGAGCAGACGAAACGAATCCTTTCCAGACGTTTTCGACTGAAACATTCCCATAAAGCAGTGTTTTTTTCAGCCGGACTACTCACCTGCCGAGAGAATGAAACGCCGCGAACTTGTCCTAGAATTGAGAACGCGACAAACCAAAGGAGAAAAAGACTTGACAATCTAAAACGACCGGATAGTCAAACGACATTCCGCCCCCTCTGGATCAAGCCGATTCGAATGACCGCACAGATACCACGGTAGCCTGTGTCGGGGTTGATAAAAAATCACGCATGAACTCGAAACTCATATTCATGTATACCAACGCGCAAAGTGTACTTTCTAAACTGGATGAACTTCGTATCCTGACCCATGACCTCCACCCAGACGTTATCTCAATAACAGAAACATGGCTGTCCGAACAGATTGATGACAGAGAACTCATGCTCCCTGGATTTCAACTGTTCCGCAAAGACGGACAAAACAGGAGGGGTGGAGGCATAGTAACATTTGTTAAAAATGGCTTATACGTTTCAGAAAAAACTGCCCAATTGAGTTGCAGTACGGAAGCGTTGTGGCTGACCATAAGGGCACCGGGCTCTCAAAGCCTCGATATCTTGACAGTATATCGCCCCCCGAGAAATGACCCTGGCGCTGATGCCCAACTGCTGGAGGAGCTTAGGCTATTTTCAATGCGACCGGCTACTCTCATCGTCGGTGATTTTAATGCACCTCACATAAACTGGAGCTCGGCCTCAGCCGACTGCTCTGAAGCAGCATTCGACCAGCAGTTACTGCGTACCTCCGACAACCTGCTTCTAACCCAACACGTTATGTTTCCAACGAGAAATCGAGAGGGCCAGCAAATGAATTGCCTTGATCTGGTGTTCACCAAGTCCTCTGACAATATCGACGTTGTGAATTGCCTCCCCCCGTTGGGCCAGGGTGACCATGTAGTTCTCATGTGGGAATACACCTTATTCTCCCTGCCTGCACAACCGCTCGATACCCGACCCAATATTTGGCGCGGAGATTTCGAACAGATGAGAAGGGAGCTAAGTCCTATCGACTGGGCATCCACTCTATCCGGCGATGTCGAAGAGGTTTGGTGTCAGTTCAAAGAGTTAGTCCACAACCTCATCTCCAACCATTGCCCAATCATGCGCAGAAGACTAACAAATAGACCCCGCTGACTGACTCCGTCCTTAAAGAAGGAGGTTAACAAGAAGAGGAAGCTGTGGAAAAGATCCCTGACTGACCGGACGCCAGACTCCCTATGCAGTTATAAGTCACAGAGAAATCGGGTCAAAGTTCTCATCGCTAGAGATCGGAAAGCCTTTGAAAAGGATCTTCTGAACCGTGCCAGGGTTAATCCCAAAGTCCTCTACAGCTACATAAGACAGAGCACGCGGAACAAAGACCCCATCCCACTGCTGCGAACAGCAGAGGGAATGGAAATCTCCGATGACAAGGATAAGGCTGAACACCTCTCTCAGTTTTTCCGGTCCGTCGGGACAAGTGAACCTGATTTTCTCTCCCCCATTTGTGAAGACGAAGAAAAGCCTACCCTTGAAGCCGTATTCTTCACCGAAGCAATTGTTCGGAACGAGTTACTTAATCTGAAAGAATCGACCTCCCCAGGCCCTGATGCAATCCCCGCCAAGCTGCTGAAGGAGCTAGCTCCCGAAATGTCCAAGCCTTTAGCCTTGATCTTCCAAACATCATTTCTTACTGGATGCCTGCCCTCTGACTGGAATTCCGCTACCATCACTCCGCTTTTTAAGAGCGGAAGTCGTGCGTCTGCGAATAACTACAGGCCAGTGAGTCTTACCTCCATCTGTTGCAAAATCATGGAGAAGATCATTAAGAAGGCCTTGATGCAGTTTCTCGAGCAGCACCACCTCCTCTCGGATGCACAACACGGCTTTCGAAGTGGTAGGTCCTGCCTCATGAATCTGCTCTTTACGCTCGAACGCTGGACCAAAGCACGCGATGAAGGTAGTGTGGTGCACGCCATCTACATCGACTTCAAAAAGGCCTTCGACAGCGTTCCCCACCAACGTCTCTTGCCCAAACTGCGCAACGCTGGAATTCGTGGACGACTTCTTGCATGGATCCAGAGCTTTTTGACTGGACGGTCCCAAAGAGTGCAGGTCGGGCGTCAACAGTCCTCAGAGGTAAGCGTGGTGAGTGGCGTCCCACAAGGCTCAGTCCTAGGTCCCACGTTATTCCTCGTTTTCATAAATGACTGCGTCAAGGACTTAGACTGTGATACCATCCTGTTTGCCGGCGAAATTAAATTGTGGAAAGTTATTCACAATGCGGCAGACGCAGACCACCTGCAAGCAAACCTGAACAGGCTCGAAGACTGGTCGAAGCGCTGGCTTATGCCCTTCAATATAAGCAAGTGCAACTTTCTTCAACTAGGCAGCTTCAGAGCCTCCAGCCCCAGGACTTACTTCCTAGAGGGCACACCCCTGCAACAGGTTGACAGTCAGAAGGACTTGGGTGTATGGATTACATCTTCACTCAAACCAACACTGCACTGCGCGAAGGCGGCTAAATCGGCTATGGCTACACTGCAACTCATTAAGCGAGCATTTATGGAATTTGATCCAGACAGCTTTTCAAAAATATTTGGCACCTACGTGAGGCCTCATCTAGAATGCGTCATACAGGCCTGGAGATTTTGGACTGCCAAGGACTATACCGTTCTGGAGAAGGTCCAGAGACGGGCGACCAAAATGACACAAGGTCTGGGAGCGCTGTCTTACGAATCTCGACTGTCAACTCTCAACCTGTTTCCGCTTTCTTATAGGCCATTACGTGGTGACCTTATACTTGCATTTCGCATTATTAACGGCCTAGACTGTTGTTTAGATCCCACTGATTATTTCACACAAGCTAACACGCCCAATTTGCGCGGTCATCCCCTAAAACTACGCGTCGGGAAAGCAAGGATCAATGGAAGAAAGTTCTTTTTCAGTCACAGAGTGGTTGCAGCGTGGAATGCCCTGCCCAGCGATGTTGCAACCTCCTCCTGTGTGAAGTCCTTTAAGTTTAGACTTGACGCGCATCAAGCCTCCAAGTTACCAGCCTTACATCCACTCACATAACCTGGCGCCAACTTAAACTTGTTCATACTACTTGTAACTAGTTAGTAACCGTTATTTATTACTCTTTTCGTACTAGCTGTCAACGATTATGTACAAAACCCCTTTTTTCGCCTTCCCACTATCAATGCTTTTCTCCGACGACTTGTAACCAATAGGGAGTTCAAAGGCGCTCGCCTATATTTCCCTTAATAAACTGAAACTGAAACTGAATCTCCTGACCGTATACAGGCCACCCAGTCAAACTTCTGAGGTTGACGAGGCGACGTTTAGGTTAATCAAAGAGGTGTCACAAAACCAAGAGGTACTGGTAACCGGAGACTTCAACGCACCGATGGTCGACTGGGACAATTTATTAATAAATGGTTCACGAAATTTCTTTGATTTGAGGCTCTTAAAACTAACGCCTAATTGTGGTACAGAATGTCACGTTTGTAACCAGACTCAGAGAGGACCAAAGAACAATTTGTCTGGATCTCGTCCTTACATAAGACCCAATTAGTCCCGGTGAACTTACAGTAGTTGGGCTAACTGATGAAATGTCAACAGAAATTCCGAAATGCGTTTTCGTTTCTAAAAGATTAATTAAGTAGTGTTGTAAAACAAGACAGTCTGCAACATAATTCTATAATAATTCAGTTGCCTCAGGATGACAGATTTCGAACGAATTTCTTTCTGGCTACATGCAAAAACCACACTCCATAAAAATGACTACTTAAGTGGCATGGATTTTTCTCAGTGATTTCCAAAGCCCTCACAAATTCAATTATATTTCATGGAAAACACGCATAAAATATTCATTCTTTTACTCATTCGGTAGAATTTTACAGCTTTTTTCAATTTTATACCCGAAGGAAGGGTTTAATTCGATTTTTAAAAGGTTTCTAATTATGGGATTTTGTAATACCATGAAATGGCCGTTCATAAAACACCATGTCGCTGCATTTACCGACGTGATTTGCAAAGTTAATAATATGACTCAAATCCACTGCTAAATTCTGTGAACCCCATATAGTCTCCTCTTAATACCAAAGAGAAATGTGTGGTTTTCCGTGAGCGGAAAATATACGGCTTGTAGTTTGGAAACCCTGAATGTAATTGTAGCAGCAGGTCGGGGTTGAAAATTATTCGGGAATCGGAAAAGTTTCTTAAAACCGAATTATACCCTTCCCTCGAGCATAAACTTGAAAGAAGATGTAATTTTCTACCGAATGAGCAAAAGTATGAATATTTCTTTGCATGTTTTTTATGAAATATAATTGAATTTGTAAGGGTATCGAAAATCAATGAGAAAAATACATGTCACTTAGGTAGTCATTTTTTACACAGTGTGGACTTTGCATGCAGCCGAGAAGAAATTCGTTCGAAAGCTGGCATCCTGAGGCAACTGAATTATTTTAGAATTATATTGCAGGTTGACGGAAATAATGACAGTAGTCTTACAGGGCTCAACGAAGAGTATGTTGGAAAAACGGATTAATAGGAGTGTGATAAATGATCAAGTAAGTCTGAAACCATTTTGAGAGACAAGACTGGAAGGTTTTCCGTTACCGAAGACTGAGGGTTGTCTAGGCGTGCCATTTGCTTCTGAAGGAGCTTGAGGAAATTCAGTGATATTCATAAATCTATCCGAAGATGGAATAAAGGGAGAACTTGTTTCGAACTTGGAAATATAACGTTTAACAATGAAAATAATAAATATTTCCGCCTTGCCAAAACCATTGGTGATGAAACTTTTGTTGTCATTTTGCATAGGGGAGGTAGGTGATGGTACTTCGGAAAAACCTTTGACACATGACTTGTGCTGGGGTCCTCACAAAATCAGGATAGGTGAAATTAAGCCACTCTCGTAGTCTGTAGCACACAAGTCGATTTCCTAAGGCTACTTTAAAAATTTCGGTCTTCATTGAATGGAGGGCTGAGGAACCGATAAATCTGTCTTGCAGCTGCTTTTAAACTCCTTCCGTCTGCCGGAAAACAAGCGGGAAAAACAACCAAATAAACCAAATTTAAGAGTGCTGCGCGGTACATACCCAAGGAGCCTTTTATCGAATGTGGTACAACGTCTCAAAGAAGGTCCTTAACAGAAATATATATAAAGAGTCGTAATATTCAAATTCTTTACTAAATTTTTAATTTTAAGCTGAAACAATGATTATTTTCCATCCGGATTAGCTTTCTAAGAAAAAAACAAGCGAAATTCTGCAATGAATTAGTGCCTGGTCGCTCGCGTAGTCGTTTCATTGGAGATCAATCAAAAGGGATCAGAATCATCGAAAATATTTGACATAAAATGAGATTGTCTCTATTCGGTGAGAAGATCAACCTGGGTCACTTGAAGGATTACTAATATCTGGAAAATATCGAAACCGCGAGGGAAAAATTAATGGAGGATTTATTTTGGGAACATGCAGATATCCAGCTATTATTCTAGTGAGAAAGTCGGATCAATAAATTGTTTTAAGACCTTGAAGGAAGGTTGCTTTTGGAGGAGTATATGTGGAAGCAAGAGTACCTTTTCTTTGTAGTAAGAGAATAATAAATGTGAATAAAAGGTCTACATAGAAAGTGGGAGTGCGTCGATCATTGGAAAGTTGTTTCAAGAAAGATCTATCATGAAAAAGCCAACTTATGCCGTCTTAACGGTAGAAATCGAAGTTGTATATGGAAAGGAATGAATTGAGAAGCAGATAACGTGTGCGAAATTCGAGCATTTATGTAACATCGTACATGGCCTTGAGGGGCAACGACCCTAAATGAAGCTGTTTTTAATGACAGACTGAACGTCCAGAAAGATAATGTCAATGTGATTCGGGCAGTAAAGCATTGAAAGGAGTGCTGATAAAGGCGGTGGAGAATGGGGTGGTGACTTAATGGCCGTTATCAGCCAGCCTTACCCATACACAGGCCTGTGTATGGGTAAGGCTGGCTGATAACGGGATCGAGGCTGAATTGTGGCGAACCGGTTCGCCACAATTCAGCCTCGATCCCGATTTCTTTGGCCATTGAGCCTTCTTTAATTCAAAGCTGTACCATTGAACTACGGATCCGTTGTCCTGTCGATTGCGATCGAAAATGTTAACTTATTTTGAGGTGTTTTCACTAATCGGGTTATGGGATATGCATATCCGGTTGTGCCTTAGAATTCAATGTAGAGGTCTCGCCTGCAGTCGCATAGCGACCAGAAGTATACCCTGAAAGGAGTACGGACAAACACAAAGTACCCCTCTCAGCAGATATTCCTGGTCGCTATGCGACTGCCTACGAGGACTCTGCATTTATTTAGTTATTAGCCACAACGGGATAGGCATGTCCCATAACCCGATCGGTGAGACCACTTCCGTTATAAGTAAGTACCTGGTTTGTATCATTAGAAATAAAGGTGGACAATTTACATGCAATGGAGCATTATTTGTTTAGTAGTTCTTCCTTTTTCTAGAGCAGGTACCGCATCGACAGGTTGCTTGGAGCTGTTGGCAGGGCGCATAAAGTGTTTGGACATAAAACCCCCCAAAACGGAAATATTGGCTTTGAAAAACAGGGGATTTCGACAAATGGATATGTTAGTGTAGTCTGGGAGCTTGTTACAAGATTTCGTGGAAAGGTCTTAAATGTGGTAAATGCAATCAGGGGATAGAATATTGTGAGAACTATTTATGGGACAATTAATAGGCCTCCGGTTGCTGCTAGGTATACAAGCAAACAAGTACTCGAGAGAATAACCAAATCTATAGCACATAGAGACAGATCTGATTGCGAAACTTTACCAAATCCTACAGAAACAGTGGCTCACTGCCTAGCATTAAATTACCATTTGGTTGGTTTGAGGCCCGGCAGACTTTTTGACCCTATCGTTGCGGCAAGGCTCAGAGGATTCAGTAGGAGTGTACAAAGAGGCCATCGCTCTGTCCGGACTCACAGTCATCCAGGGTAGGTTTTTAAGAGTGTTCAGGGCAACGATTGCGCTGGCGAATAATTAGCAAAGCATGGAAACCGTTAAATGATTGTCTGAGTAAAAGGAGAAAATAAGGTTAATCACTATGTTTAATTTCGGATAGGTAAGATAAATTTATTTCTCGGAGTTGGCAATTTTTTACCGGATTTGCGCAGGATAATCGGCTTTGGGAATAAAGGCTATTATCTTCGTTCTGTTGGGCTGAGACCACATGTAAGGGAATGTCTTTCCATCCTCAGATAATCTGAAAGGCGTTTACGATGAACAAAGGTTAATCCAGCTTCGACTGGCAAGAAATCTCAACGAAAACAAACAGACCTTCATCCAGTGAAGAGATTCGTTTTACCCTTGCGTGTATGGAATCGAAGCCACATGATTAAATAAAGTCCATAGCTACCTCAAAAGGCTGTTGGGATTCGGCACATTTTTAAAGGGGGCTTACAATTTCTGTGCCGTGTATTATGGGTTTGGGGAATTACAAGATTGGTGAACCAATTTACGCATCTACAGCCCTGAAGGGTTTACGTCGGACATATTTCGAATCTTTTAGATAAAACACAGTAGTGTTCTGGCATTTACTAACCGGGGCGTCATTTGGCACAGGAGTATAGATAATAGATAGATAATTTTTATTAAAGACCCGTCGGGGTCCCATCAAAGCAAGTTAAAATAAATTTGCATGCGAGTTTTAGACGAGGTAGGCTGAATCTTTACAAAATGCAATTCATAGTTTCTGAATTAGAAGTCCATTGAGAA